AAACATTTAACCAGTAAAAATTTTTATCAGTACGAGTCTGAAAACAACTTCTCTTCCCAAGAATCATATACCCAATTCTCACTCTCCTGGTACCCATGCTACGCTCTGCTGCCAATTGCAGAGGAGTGATAGTTCTTCTCAGGTCTCCAGTGGTCATGAACTGAAAGAGTGAGCTCATCATGGTGTCCAACTTTCACAATTAGTGAAAGTGAGACTAAAAAACCATTAGGTCGGGCGTTTTGCAGAGTGTAATCCATTATAGTGCAAATTTGTGCATTTTAGTGGAGTAACAGTGGCTTCTAATCAATTGGCAGAGACAGCAGTTTTCAGCAGCTCTAATGAACTGTTGTGCTCATTCAGAGAGTTTAGCTGTCACTCACTGAGTAGCCTCTTCAAATCTAGATCCCTCAGTGCAAAGCACATTTGATTATGTTGTTGCTTTCTTTGGCTAGACTGATAACCTTTGTATGTGTTTGACATAAAAAAGAGAGAAAGAGAGAGAGGGATGCAAGCAAAATAGAAGGGTAATTAGGTATCTTTCCTCGCACACTCATTCTCACCCTCCCCCATATCTCCCAGGGGGTAGTGGAGACTCGTCAAAGCCCTGTCATGAATTTTTAACATGCCTGTTGGTCTCTTAGGAAGCGTGTGTAGATGTGTGGTTTCTGCATGTGCATGTTCATATACAGTCAGGCAAAAAAAGGGATTTTCACATGTGTTTTTTTCACACAAAGTCTTATATAATTCATGAATGTCACACTAATGGCTTAAGTATGATGTACGATGTATCAGGAGTTGAACAGCTGTTGGTTATATGCATGTATCATTTCTGATACAATGTTTTGCTGAAGGAGAAACCCAAGGGAACATATGGATAATGCCTATCCATATGTTTTTAGACTACCTTGATTATGTGTTCCTGTATCTTTTTGCACTGATATTATGCAAGCTTATCATTTTATGAGCAATAGCCTGGTTTTCTGTTTATCTGATGAAGCTCAGTTAGTGCACTTGGGTTGATGTGATGCTACACTGTTGACATTTGACAACTCACAAATCTCGCCAGTAGATCAAAAATGCTCTATTTTTTGCATAGCGTATCTGCTGAAGGCATTTATGTCAAACTTAGCCGAGTCAAGTTTCTTTGATAAGTGATGGTCTCATTTTGGGATCTCCCTGTTGCTAAGCAACATTATCAGGGGCACCAATGTCACACTTATCTATGACCTCAAGATGATTTTACAAGTGCATCGGCACAGTGTCAGTCAACTTCCACTGACTGACACATACAGTGGTGTCAAAAAGTGTTTGGCCCCTTCTTGATTTACTAGTGTTTTGCATATTTGTCACACATAATGTTTCAGATCATCAAACTTATTTTGATAAGATAAGTTACAATGATGATTTCATTGATTAAGAGAGAAAAGTTATCCTCGTTCTGTTTGAAAAAGTAATTGCCCTTCTTATTAAAATAATGAATTAATTGCAAAAAACTGCATTTTTTGGAAACCTGAGCTCAGTTTCACCAAACACACTCAGCCCTGACTATTGGCAGACCTGTTGAATCAAAAAATCACTTAAATAGAACCTGTTTTATAAAGTGAAGCAGGCTAAAAGATCTCAAAAAGCAACACATTATGACAGGATCTAAAAAAAACCCCACCTGAAAACAGTAAACAGTTAAGTATGGTAGTTGTAGTGTGATGGTCTAGGGCTGTTCTGCTGCCTCAGGAAATTTAAGACTTGCTGTGGTAAATGGAACCATGAATTCTGCTGTTTACCAAAACATCCTGAAGGAGAATGTCCGGCCACCTGTTTGTGACCTCAAGCTGAAGCACACTTGGGTTCTACAGCCGGACAATGATCCAAAACAGGAAGTCCACCTCTGAATGTCTTAAGAAAAACAAAATAAAAACTTTGGCGTGTCCTGGTCAAAGTCTTCACCTGAATCCGATTGAGATGCTGTGGCATGACCTTAAAAAGCAGACTCATGCCCGAAAACATATAGAAAAACAGGCAATCAGAAAGAGGGCAAAAACTTTTTCACACCACTGTAGAGTCAAAAAGATTCAAAGAACAAGAAATATGAAGCTGGAAATGAGCATAAGTGGCCAACTTTAACATTTTAAAATAGAGTAGAACATGCCGATCTGCAGAGTTAGGCTTCCCTAACCAAACACATGGTTTTAAAAATAGCAATGGTTTCATTACGATGTGGGAATGCTTAAAATAAATAACAAGACACCTCATGTTTGTCTGCATTGTGCAACTGCCAGTTGGACATGTTTTCATTTTACTCCAAAAACTGTAACTTTTAACAGAGCTTTTGATTTAGATATGCAGTTGGAATCACTGACAACATCTAAACGCTTTAGTGATTGGTGGTAGCAGGGAGCAGTGTCTGACTCTGTTTGACTATGATGCTTGCTACCACTAACTGGTAAATACGATTCAGCACTTGATGCATTGTTAGCACATGCAACTTTTATGTACAATGTACATCGGTCACAATGCTTGTAATCATTTCACATTTTTTTCACTGTTTTGGGTTGGTCAGTGTGTACGTGTGTATATAGCTGCAGCAGGGTGTATATTTAGCGGTTGACATCCAGTGCATGGGAGCTAGAGAGAGGTCTGGAACAGAGCCCAGGACTGGAGGCCAAAGGAATGGAACTGTTGATCAAAATGGAACGATTGCCGACAGCAGACACAGGGTCACATAAACATACTCCGTAAAAATACCAATTCAAAATAATATAAGCATCTCATCCAAAGATGTGTCCATCTAGCATGCCTGTTATATATGCTTGCACGAGCCAACAGATGGTTGTCAGACAAAGATGCAGCTATAAAAACAGTTTTTCGTAATCATATAAAAAGATTTGATTCTAACATGATTTAACTTTGGTGTTGTGAAGGAAGATTCTTTGTCCTGCTCTTTGCTTTCATTCCTTATCGCACTTTTGTTCTAACCTCTTACCTTTTCCATTTCTATGGCACTAGTTATGAAACTTGGAACAAGATGTTTTAAAAATTGATGCAGGCCTCGTGGTTAAATTAGTCCACAAATCAAAGTAAAAATGTAGAAATAAGGTATCTATCACTCTGTCCCCTTTTTGAGCCATTTTTTCCCCTTTTGTTAGCACATTTCTCAGTTCTGCCTTCCTTTCCATTAAAAAAAAAAAAGAATTCAGAAGATGAAATTACACTTTGCTAAATTATAATGTAAGCATCACCTGAATTGTATAGCACAACTGGAAGGTAATATCTCAAGATTTTTCAGTATCAAGACATATATATTACATTTCAACCTTGTGATCTTGGATAGATGTTTATTTCGCTGGATGCACATCAGAACTTGTTTGTTCCCAGATGGAAGACGCATTGTTATTATAGTTTGTACTTGCAAGAAGTAAAAAAACAGCACGTATATGTGCAATTGCAGGAGAGATGACTAGATTAAAGGTGAGATTAATTACATTTTCAATTAAATTCAATTGCATGTATATAGTGCCAAATAACAACAGCAGTCACCTCAAGGTGCTTTACACTGTCAGGTAAACACCATATAATAATACAAGTGTGGTTAATTACATTTATATTCCTTTATATAATTCCTTTTTTATTGATAGCTTTTTCAGTGGGTAATTTATTTGTTCTTCACTTTATTCACTGATCCATCATTTCTTCCTGCACTGAACCCAACTTATTTTATTCAGTTAGCTCTATGTTTCACACTCTCTGACTCGCTCACACATTCAGCCACACACCCACCCACACACTACTTTCTTACAGTACAACCTTTTCATTTTGACATTCTGATACTCTGTGGCGTGGCCTTTAGCGGACAGTGAGTGCTGCAAGACCTTGATAGCCCTGTGGTTTGAGCTCTGCAAGTGAGATCATAATCATTTCTCTCTTGTCTCTAGGGTGGTCTCCACCGCGTTTTCTAATGTGCTCTCTTTTGCTCAGGTTTTCTCAAATGAGAGAGATGTTTTGAAGGAAGGATACCCAGTATATATTCCAGGCTAGGGCTGGGCTGTATCATACCGTTCACGGTAATACCAGTGTAATGTTATGCAACGATAGGAAAATGAAATATCGCGATAGAATATGGGTAAAACGCGCATGCGCAGTGCCTTTGTTTACATACGCACATGGCGGCGACGCAGAATGAGAAGAGCAGAAGTGGATCGTTAAATGAAACAGATGAACAGAATTGGTTTGTAAAAATGCTGCAACTTCAGTGGTGTGGAACTGGTTTAGCTTTCATCCGTCAGATACACAACAAAGCACAATTTTTGGTAGAGCATGCCAGTGGGCTGTCATTATTACCGTGTTTTTTTGGAAAATACGGCACACTTAAAATCAATCCTTTGATTTTTCTGAAAATCGACAGTGCCCCTTATAATCCCGTGTGCCTTATGTATGAATTCTGGTTGTGTTTACTGACCTCGAAACGATTTTATGTGGTACACGGCACTTGAAAATTTGTCAAATGTTTCAGTACAACTTTGCTGAGCTACAAACCCGCACCGCTTGGTGGATTATCGGAGCATTACGGCTATCGTAGGCAGGCGCCTCGCGGAGTGATACGTACTGTGCTTCAACATAATATTACCGTATTGTGTGTGTATAACCTCTTTTTAAGTTTTGTGAATATTATACATGGTTATGCTGAGGATATGTTGGCCAATTTCCACTGGAAATGCCTTTTGGTTAAACTGTCAGCAAGGAATTTGCATTTGCACTGTTATTTTTTTTATATAATTTTAATGCACTTAAAAAAGCTGCTTGTTTAAGTGAAAATACATTGATGTTTTTTGGGGGTTTTTTGCACTAATAAAGTTCAGGAGTTGTAAAGTATTTTGTCTAGTGTCAATTATATCGTCAGTTATATCGTTATCGCAAATTTTCAAATGTATATCGTGATAAATATTTTTGGTCATATCGCCCCGCTCTGCTCCAGCCTAAATCTTTTGTCATATTTCACTTCCCAGAAACTGGCCACAGCTGCTGAAGAGTTTCAAATGAAGCATCAGTGGAAAGACGATTTCGAGGTAACAGAGAGAGAGAAAATACAGAAAAAAAAAACACGTTTATATGTGTTTTTTATGTGCTATCTATTAGGGATGGATGAAAAAATGATACAGCATTGTCACGGTCCGCTGTGACGGACCGAGTGGAGAATGCGTGTAATGGACCCAGGTGCGAACACAAGCGAAGATACAGGAGTGGATTAAACAAAAGCGAGCCTTTTATTATGGCTGATGAAAGGAACAAACCAGAGTGAGGGCAGCATAAGAGTAGTAGCTAAACAGAAACCTAAACTGGACATAAACTATGGAAAGGCTATGGCTGGAGATATGGAACACAGGGGGTGGGAACACAGACGACGCGACGCAGACTACATGAAACACAGAGACTAAATACACATGAGGAATGATCAGGGGAAGTGGCCACACATGGGAACGCAGCTGACACACATGAACTTAACGACAGGACAGGAGGAGTGAAACTGAATACACTGACAGTGAATGCAGGCCTTCAAAGTAAAACAGGAAACATGAGACATGAACCGGGGAGACGTAGTACAGGGGGAGGTGACATAACTGACAGCATGAACTTGACAGTACAAGACACACAGACATAAACACACGAAGGGCAAGGGAGACGTAATGCAAGGGTGGTATATACAGATGGCTGGACTAACTTAATGAACCTAAACAATCAATAAACATCAAAATAGACTAAACACAAAACACTGGGTCGCACGACCCAGGACCATGACAAGCATAGTACTGCTGTATTTAGGATGGGGATAATATATCGATACAGGGACACTAAATATTTATATTTGATTAAATTAATTAAAATACTCTGGGAATACTAGCTGTCTGGAAAACAAGATGACTTGTCTCATGCACCATTATCCTGAGATAACATTAGCTGAGCAAACCTACATTAACAGGTTGTGAAAAACTGTCTGGACACTGGAAACATTTAGCTCAACAAACCTACCTCCTAATTCAGAAAAGGCTAATGACTCAGCCATAAAAGTAAAAATAGGGCAGCAACCAAACAAAAATTAATGGCTGCCTGGTAATTGTATGGTAATTGTTCACATTCCTTTGCCGATTTCAACTAAGGGTGACTTAATTGTTGCCCAGAGCTTGAGGGTGTGGCACAGTAATGACCATTTTTGATTGAAGCTTTTCAAATAATTCACATCTAATTTATAAATGCAGACAGATTGCCATCATATTGGCATCAGTTTGAATGAGTCTTTGTCAGTGAGCACAACTCGAGGGGACTTGACTCAACTGGCTGCCAGCTGGTTGTATTTATAGAACAGCAAGATTGCTGAGCGCAAGTGTAGTGGTTAAATGTGAATTTCTGTCTATGCAGACAACAACAGATTTTGTGATTTTCTACGATTTATCACAGTTAACTGGTGCATTACCAGAAACTGAGTGCATGTGACGTTCATGCAGCCAACATCAACCTATTCGATCTCAGACAGATAACTAACTTCATCTTATGGCAACATTTTACCGCAGGCTTTAGTGATAGTGTTGGCATGCTTTATAATCTCATTTTGCCAAAAAAAAAAATTAAATAAATAAATTAAATTAAATTAAAAAAATATCTGAAGTGAAATCCAATTTATCTTATTGGATAAATCTGATAGTGACAAAGTTTGAGGACAAAATTTGATGTTGATTAATCACTACTGCAATACTCTACATATTGCACAATGTTAAAAATCATACTAATATTATTGTTTTGTGAGTGAATAATTGTGAAAATATCATATTGTGTTCCTACGTCTAGCAGACGCACAGATACACAAATGGTGATGCATGTAGTCTAAGTTTGCTAGACTTAGAATAATTTGATTGTGTGAATAGTTTTTACATATTTTCAGCATCCATCATTAGCAGTGAGTACAGTTCCTTTTGTTAACTGGTTTATTGCTCATTATACACTGTGTTATGATACATGCCCCTCATTTTCAATGACAGATGCTTTGCCTTCTAACAACCTGGGTGGCAAACAATTATATAAGAGAAAAAAGCAATGCTCAGGAAAAATACTTGTCACAGAGGCAGTTATTACATTGCTATCTCAGAGGCAAAAAATGCTTACCTGGAGCATTGCAAATGGCTGCAGGGACAGAGGGACATGGTGAAATATGACCATACCTTATTTATTTAAGCAAAAACACAGACTAGTATCTTTTTAAACTAAATAATAGAATTAACAAATGGCAAAATAAAGAACTGCTTAGAAATTGATCAAATATTTAATAGTTGCATAAATGTTAGGGTTCTTTGTGCAACACCCTGAAGCATCCAAAAAGCATTTTTTGTGCTTCTTTGTCACTTGTTTACAGGATGATGAAATTGCCTACTACAACGCAAAGGACAATGTGAGTGTGCTTTTTTGCCCTCCTCTGTTAATTTATTCTCTTTCTCTTTGAGCCCCTGCAAACACATAGGTCATACATGCATCATGAATGTGCTTTTGCTACACAGCATCCCCACCCCCACCCCGCCTTCATTGCCTCATATTCCCTCATCTCCCTCATTTTACTCCTGCAAAAATCACCACATTTTCACCCCCGCTTTCTCTTATCGTCTTAGCTCTGTACTGCAGCCCCCAGTTTGCTGCTTCTTGGAGCTTTTCTTCCCATGTAGCTACCTCTCTGTCATCCCTCCTTCCAGCCTCTCTCAGGTGAAGAGGTCTCTGCCATGTTTCTCCTCTAATTGACAGATGAGATGTATGAGCTGGCTAGGCTCTTGCTTTATTAGGAAGCAACTGTTCGCACCATTTCTCCCTCCCCCTCTGCCTCTCTCACCACCTCACTACCTCGGCCCCTCTCTACCCTGCTTTCGTTCATCGGTATCTCATCTTTTCCTCCCTGTCTCTACTGCTCTCATTGATGTAAATTGGCAAATGCACGGCAGGAGTTATAAATCTCCACAAGGGGCATAAACAATCTGAGTGTCTCCGGCTCCTCCTCCCAAATGAAGATGATAAAATGAAAAAAAGCGAGACATCATCACGTAAACAGTCAGGTTTTTTTTTAAAGCATGCAGGGTGTGAAAAGTGCAGCAATGTTGTTATTATGGTAGCGATGAGCTGTTGAGAATGTGCGTTCAGGCTGTTGTAAAGTCTTTCGTTTTTATGGAGACCAACAAACCATGTCATATATGTGCAATGTGCCTCATTAATTTACATAAAGATGTCTGCTATGATTTCTTAAACCTATAGTGAGAACAGCTATAGATAGTGCTTTGAATCTTTTTTCCCCTTTCAGCTGGATGCAAATGAGACAGAGGGAAGAAAGAACAGGATTCGACCAGACTTTCAAGAGGACCCCTCGTTTAAACGTTTGACTGACTACAACCACACGGCTGTCCACATTCCCACTGACATCTATGATGGCTGTGAGTGCATCGTCACACACACGCACACATACCAAAGTGGTTACTATGGATACGGCTGACACACCAACCCATTATGAAATGTTTTTTACAGATTGTGCCTCAAGCAAAGTTGCCCTTAGCTAAAAGATGGGTTTAACAAAAAAAGCCTCATACGAGTAATAAGCTCTCCTGTAGTAATCGGTTACTTAACAAAGCTGCCTGCCCTTGGAATGTAAAAGAACAGGAGGCACGACAACTGAAAGGATTTATGTGTTTATGTTTTCTTTTTTTGTTTAGAAATATTTTTGCTATTGGTAGTTATGCAGCTTTCAGTTTAATACTCTGTTTAACCAGAACTAGAATGATAAGTATGCATTTATTAAAATTATAAATCATAAATGTATTATTCATATGAATATTGCAGCTATTGAATGTCTTTAGGAACAGATTGATATAAATAGATAGATATAGGAGATATAATACACTTATATCTATAGACTATATTATAGATATTGACTATAATAGATATATGCATGCAATTTTTGCTTGAGTGGACACTTATATTTATTCTTGGCACAGGTATTTTATACTGTTACCCATAAAAGAATGCAATGTGCAACTGAACTGCACTATAAACTGGATTGTGTGTAAATCCTGAAACAATAATATCATCTGTTGAAATATATCAATCAGTACATTTGCATTGTCAGCATTTTTTAAGAACAGAATGGTTCATTTCACTGCACCTGCTACTTGTGAAAGGTTGGTGAATGTTCACTGAACATGTAGTCAGTTTCTCAGAATGCGAAAAAACAAAAATAGGATCATGTATACTCAAGATTATAGAGAATATTAATGATAATCTCTTAAAAACTTAAACATGTTGAATAAACATTTGGTTGTCATGATCTGGATACAGGAAAATTAAAACCTAAGCAGCTTTATGTTATAGTCATGGCTGTTTTCATCTATTCATACCATCCCATACTCAGGCTTTACTTGATGGGGCTGTTTCAGTCACATTGGATGTTAAAAGTCTTTAGCCTGCCAGCTCATACTACAAAGCGAGTGCAATATTTACTTGAAACAGTTTTAAAATATAGCAGGTAATCATTTGACGGATTCATAGTGAATGATCGTCACATATCCTGTAAGTATGTCTTGTAGTGAGAACATGTCTGAGGAGGCTGTTGGGTATTGTTGGACAGCAATAGTCGAAGCAGGAAGAAAGCATTATCTAGTAACATGGATTGGAAGATATCCTGTTAAAGAGTATTTTTGCTCCTTTTGTTATAAAAGTACATTTCTGATCATTTCAACATCATGTGCTGACATTTACCTTGAGTGATACAGCATAATTTAAATCTCGAGAGTCTCCCTGACATTAGCACAGCTCAAGTTGAATGTCAGTGACTTAAGGGTGCCTGGCTGAATAGCTTAAGTGTGGTTTGAATTATGTAATATTTTTAAGTGGCTTTTCCTTTATTCTATTTTTTAGATTTCAACTTGTGGGGTGATGTCCTTAATATAGTGTGACTTACGAGGAGAGGAATAAAGCTTTAGGTGATTTGCTCAAGTATGTGTCACCACAGTAGGCCTTGGTTCTCGAAGAACTTCAGAAAGATTCCAGTTTAATTACAATCTGGTTTTTTAAACCATCTTGCAGCAGCATTACTGAATGATGTGTGTTTGTATCTGTGTTTCTGTGAAGAAAGACATCTGTGTGTTTGTGGTAAGATGTTCAGTAATTGGTGTAGTGGAATCAGTGCAGTGGAAAGTAATGCGTCAGCAGTGACTTGGAGAGACAGCAGGATGGAATGACTTCCTCAGCATGGACCTCAGCCTGCTGGGGAACCGTCTGGCCCCAAGGTTACCTGCTTCACCTTGTTGCTGACCCCAGACACATGGGCAGAAAAGGGAAATGTAGATTGGAATGGAAAGCTGTCAGGTTTTGTTATCTGTGGGTGGAAAGTCTAGTTTATTAGCATTTCTTTTGAACTTGCTGTGAATTTGTCAATTTTTCCCTGAGATCCCTATCTGGCCTTTAATCTGGGCTGGGTGCCACAGCTACTCACGCTGCCTTTCTCTCACAAGGATGCTGTTTATTGGTAGCCTGTAATGAGTATGCATGGATACGCTGAGCTTCTGGGATCTACCCAGCGAGATGAAAGAAACTTTAGGTGTGTGTGTGTGTTTACGAGGAAGGACTCAAACCTGGCGGTACACTGTGGGCAACAATCTCAGGTATGGAAATAAAGAACCAGACCATGCAATTTTGTTTTGAGATTGAGACTTGTTTTTCAGATTTAAGTTTAAATTTCAAACTCTAGGAATATCTAGCTAAAGAAAATTATTTAAAATTAACTAATGTATTCAAAGAAGCACTGCGAATATGGAGAAAAACGTATGTCTGAGAGCATACGCAGGCTCATATATTGTGTCAGATATGGACACATGTGAAGGAGTATGTATTTGGTATTCCAGGTCAGAAGATTCATAGTTATTGAGGTTTCAACTCTCCAATTTAATCTCCACCCTATAAATGTTCCCAGAATAGCCTTTGCTCAGCTGGAGAAAATTAGATTTTCTGGGTAAAGTGGGTGACAAGTTTATGAAATCAGACTCATGTGTGTGAGGCCAGTATTGGAAAGGATACAGGCATGACAGAAAGATCACAAAAGCATAAAATGTCCATTGAAGGACATAGTACCAAAAAAAAGTATATCAGACGAAATAGAAAATAATTTAATTCAGTGGATATACAAGTGGAAGCTGAATATAAAAATGTAAAATTTAGTAGTATTTGTGCCACATTTCATGTCATCAAACTAATTTCATTATTAGACATAGATAAATGGAAATAGAAAAAAAATGATTCAAACACAATTACTCTAAACCTAAAAACTGATTGTGCCACCCTTTACGGCAAGAACTACAATCAAGTGTTTGTGACAGCTGGCGAATGGCAACGAGTAGGGATGAGTATCGAAAACCGGTTCTTGTTGAGAACCGGTTCCCACTGTTTCAATTCCTTGGAATTGTTTGCCATTTTTGCAAACGATTCCCTTATCGATTCCAGTCGCCCCGAATGATGTCACCACGTTGCGGAGTGTGTCATTTACCTGGCAGGAAACATGGCGGCTCAAACGCTCAAAGGTTTGGTTATACTTTACGAGAACGGATGACAACAGGGCAACTTGCAATACTTGAAAAGTAGATATTTCATTTAAGGGAGGAAACACTACGAATATGCAAAAGCATTTGCTCACAAAACACGGGATGACCTCAAATGAATGTCGTGTTTTTAATTCCACTCCGGACTCGTGAATCTCAACCCAGCAGCAGCGGTAACGTTTGCACGTCCTCTCCCGTTAATGCGGCAGGTAAATAATCAACTAACAGTGCATATTATGTTAGCGCGATCTGCCTTATTACAAAACCTGCCATTACTGTGCATTTAGGCGACCATGATGAGAGAGACAGAGTCTGGCTGCCTCAGATGCTGGCAGTTCTCACTGCAGTCTACCGGTAGCGTCTCCTTTCAGGCCAGGATAGACGAATGTCACCGAGCAGTGATTAAGTTTGTGGTAAAAGGCTTGCACCCATTTGCCACAGCAGATGCCCCGATTTTTGGTAAGTGAATGTGTTTAATTGTAGGCAGGGACATTACTGGATATTCTTGTGTAATTGCTACTGAATAATTTATGTTATACTTTGTTATTGCTACAGAAGAATATTTATTTTATTATTTTACATTTACAATTTTTTTTCCTGGGGACCCTGTGACACCCCATGGAAGAGCCATAGGCTGTGGATCTCTTAAGATCTCACTGTTGGGTTTGTAAGGCCATGTTACTCCTAAATTTCTATCTTGTTCAAAGAGAAGATATAAAACAAAGTTCTAAGCTAATCAACCTTAGTGTTCTCCTTTTTTAAAAAGAATTGATAAGAGAATCAATAAAGAATCGAATCGTTAAACAGAATCAAAAATGGAATTGGAATCGTGAAAATCTTATCAATACCCATCCCTAGCAACGAGTCTTTGGACCAATTTCATCCAGCTTTTTTGCAGACTTGTTTTCATTCAGCCACACTGGAGGGTTTTTGGCAAGTTATCCATCAAAGAAGTCCCATACTGTTACATCATCATAAACATGTTTGACATTGTTTAATGTCAGATGTAATGCAATTTGCAATTGCATTGCAAAGACGAAATCAGCAAGGTGACAAAATCTTTTTTTCAGAGCACTATAGAATACAGACTGTATATGAAGGATAGACCCAGTTTCCAGCCAATGTTTAACTGTCTTCCATCTGCATTCTGCAAGGCTGGTTACAATAAGAAGTTCAGCTGCAGAAATCCATAAGAAAGTGACCCTTTGTCTAATGTGATCTCTGATCTCACTAATTATTTTCCTGATGAGTTCATGGCCTTACTGGTTTCAAGTGAAGCTGAATGTAACATAATGTTCTTTTGGTAAATTATGGTCCCTAGCCAAGGGCAGCACAGTGATGTGGTGGCTAGCACCTCACGCCTAAACAGTCCTTTCCATGTTCTACCCGTGTCTATGCAGGCTCTGTCCAGGGACAGTGCTGAATGGTGTGTGTAAATGGTTGGTTCTCTATGTTTTAGCACTGTGACAGGTTGGTGACCTGGCCAGCCTCTTGCCGTATGGCAATTGTGATGTCACCACCTGTGACCCTGAATCAAATGAGCAGAATACATTGAATGGATGGTCTCAATGTGATCGCTACAGTCTTAGGAGGGAGTGTCCCTTGGTTTCACTCTCAGATCCATGCTTGATATTTAAGTTCATTTATAAAGCACCAATATGGAAAAAAGCACTTAAAACTTTACAACAGATGCTTCACTAAGCAATGAGTGACGTGTCAGTGGCCATGTCCATCTTTTGTATTCAGTCGATTTGCTTTTATTTTAATCATATATATTAAACATGCATTTGTTTAATTTTTAAAAACACCCCAATGCCTCCTGGCTATAGGCCAGTCATATAGAAGAATTTCTTGTGAGCTCAGCACAAATGTAGCCTAAAGTAAACTTTAAATAATCCCTCAGAATCAGCGCATCACTTTCTGTTTCCAGGTGTTTCTTGTGTTAATGGTACATTTCTTTTTTTATTATATATAAGAGATCACTGCATTTGATATGATTGAAATAATAAATCCTGTTGGGTTAATTAACTTGTCCAAGACTGTGGAACGAGTTTTTTTTTTATTATTCAACAATTTCACACACGTCTGTTTCTGCAAAAATGATTCCTAATTTACAAATTCACACATACTGTAATGTCAACTTGTGTCACAGGGAGCTCAGCAGACATCTTTCACCTTTCACACTCAGGGCAATACTGCTTGTGATTGGAATTCAAGTGCCAGATTTGTGTAGATGCAAAAATCCCTCCAGTTTGCTGCCTATCACTTCTGTCATCCAAAGGCAATTTTCACCATAGCTTTTGTATGGCATAAACAAATGTAGCAGGTGAGCAAATTTTGTGCCGCTTAGAAAAACAAAGACGGTTTTTATCTCCAATGATTAGATATTTAGCCAGCAATATTTCCATATCAGAGGTTATTTTGTGACATACATTATAGTCTTTCAAATATCCAACTATTCTTTTAATTAGTAATGATGGGAAATTTAATGTCTTGTAGTTATCTCTCTCTTATGTTAAACTAACTATAAATAACTGTTTAACTGAGCATGTTGTACTGTAGCTGTATAGAACATTTTTGCTTATTAGCTTTCACTGTTATACAGTGTGTAACTGTTGCTTCTATAAGGAAAAGACTGATAATTAAAGCAGTAAAAAAATAGGGAAAATATGCACCAATCCATATTGCATATTTTTGTGAATTATACTGCACCCACGATGTCCCAATGAGATTATGTCATCACTAGGTGTGAATTCAGTGTGGCATACATGTGTATCCAGGGAATTCATTAGTGTCATTGGCAATATGGGCAACCCGAGGATAGTCTTTCCCTTATGAAGCAGCAGTGAAGTTTAGCTTATTAAAGATTATGACTAACTCAGGGATATTCACAACCAGTGGAGACATTAAAAAGCAACAAATTACTAGTTAGAGGCTTGTGGTTGCCTTGTGCCATAATTTCGTCTTACAGTCTAGTACACGTGAGTATCATCTCGCTGTATTTAACTGTCAAGCTGTTTGGATAAAACAAGATGGCTTGTGCTATCTATCCAATGGCCTAACTTAATCAGTCTTCAATAAAAAGTATACATATAGTTTGCAGTTTTATCATTATCTAACAAGTGCAGTAGTATTTTTTTGATTCTTGCCTTAAAATTCTAAAATTCAATGATTAATGAGAGAAATATATTACTGTGTGTGCACACGCTTCATGCTCTCTCCCTTTCTATAATGAAAAACATGCACTCCTGGCAACCGAGGCTTCATTAACTCTTCACTCTAGAGACATAGATGCAAATGAACACTGTTTGCTTTGCACATCAATGAGACACGTCACGCTCAATACAGGATAGCAATATGGCTTACACACATGCACACTATACTTCTAGCCACATGTCAAGATGTACAGAGTCCCATAAAAAAATATATGCAATGCCACAAAGTACAAAAAAAGTGGAAGATGGTAAAAAAAAAAGAAGAGCGGCAGAGAGGACAGATAGAGTTGGGGGCAGCATGTGTTGTGTCTCCATCCATCATCAGTCTTAATGTGGCTCTGAGCTGTCTGGGTGCTGTGTCATTACATCCATAATGCCTGTTGCCTCTCACAGCACACACTATCTGTCAAAAGCATGCACACACACACACACACAAAACTTCTGCACATGCAGTCATGCAGATTATTTGGTGGTTTTAGGTAAAATACTTTAATTGTGTCTGTGCAAAGCCATTACTTGTCTGAGTACTATTCCTTGATATTGATGCCTAATGCAAGCGCTTTCTGTTTGTGCTGGAAAAATATTTGGTCGTGCTCTGCTGGGCAACTGGGGTGACAGTGAGGCCTGTGTGTGAATCTTAATGAATGTGTTAAACTGTGTTGTCCATATCTCTTTGCTAAGCCTTCTAAAGATGATTGCAGAAAACCCACAAGGACATGAAAATGTTTATTTTACAGCTGCACACAAAATCAAAATGTAATTAGAGTATATAATGTATTGAATTCTGCTTATGTTGGTGGGTTCATGACGTATTTCTTTTTCATATGCATGCTTTCTTTTGATAAATGAGCTTTTCATGTGTATTTGTTCATCCAGCCACCATTGTGCTGAATGAATTAACCTGGACAGAGGAACTGAAGGAAGTGTTTAGAAAGAATAGAGAGGATGACCCAACCCTACTCTGGCAGGTGTTTGGCAGTGCCACTGGCCTGGCTCGCTATTATCCAGGTAAGGAAACAAAGGGGGGGGACAACAACCCAAACATTGCCTTTGAATAGGTTTTTATGTGTCTGTTCATATAATTCTGAAGTTGTATGTGCTTAAATACACACTGCTTAGTAATTGAGGAGATGAGATAGCCTTTATTTGTCAGTTGCAGTTGCCCACAACCGAGATGATAGACCTTGCCGACCGTACATACAATACACAAACATCACGTTGGGGTGACAGGTCAGGCTAGGTAGCAAGGGAAAAAAAACATTGAAATGTGTAACAAAAAAGGATAATCCAGGAATGCACAGATATTAACACACCATAACACAATAAAACACAGACAAGCAACATGGGAGAATATTCCACTGTGTACAGCTGGATCTGGGACCGCTGCAATCTTCGATTGTGCCTCCAGCTGATCCACTGCCCGCATAATTAAGCTCACATTGACTTTATGTGCGTCTGCACTTGTCTATTGCTGTTCCCTCTTGTATGCGTGTTATCTTTGCCAAGCTATTTCTATTCATGAGATTCCCTGTCATCATCGACTCTATAGCTTTATGACAAAAGTTTATGTCTCATATTCATAAATTTGCATTGGCTTTGATTTATCCTTTCTTTTACTTCTTAGCATGCATGAAAGGCAGTCACTCACTCTCAGTATACTTCCTTGTTTTTATGGTGCCCTTCACTAATAGCTGTGCGTCTCCGATAAATAATTTGTGCGTGTTTTCCCTCATAAATATTTTTAGTGATTTAAAACATGTTATAATGTAGACGGTATAATAAATTGATCGATCCAATAAGCCTGTCATTATGTCACAGAATGTAGTATGTACACAACGGCTCCTGAGCAGAATATGACACTAAATACAATATGATTTTATCATATAACAATAATGGATTGGATTTATATATAGCGCTTTTCAAGGCACCCAAAGCGCTTTACAATTCCACTATTCATTCACTCTCACATTCACACACTGGTGGAGGCAGCTACAGTTGTAGCCACAGCTGCCCTGGGGCAGACTGACAGAAGAGAGGCTGCCATATCGCGCCATCGGCCCCTCTGGCCAACACCAGTAGGCGGTAGAGATGGCACGATACCACTTTTTTATGTCCGATACCGATACCGATATCATAAATTTGGATATCTGCCGATACCGATATGAATCCGATATAGTGTTTTTTAATCAACAAAACTGTTTTTTTTTTAAATATCTTGCTGCATTTTGTATAAGTTCATACTCAAGTTTAAAACAACAACTACACTAAAGCTATTCTGTTATACCTATATGCAAAAAAAAAAAAATTTCATAGTTCAGCAATACTGATCAATCTAATAAACTTAAACCTACACCATCCTCCCTATTCTGGTATTTTAAAGAGTACTTAGCGTAAATATTAAGCAACCTAACTAATAGGGTTCCAACTCCCAGCAACAACAAAAATAAATAAATAAAAAATAGGGAACCACCCCTAACGCTCCACCTCATGATGCTTAATCGACGTAATCAACCTTAATTTGATGCAGTGTGAAAAAAAAAGCACAGAAATCAATTATTTTTCAAGAAATATTAAATAGATTCAACATCTTTCTTCAACAAAATTGCAGACTGCACAGATGGTACCTTCCCAAAGGTACTATAGTACTTTTTCCTTTGGGAAGGAAAAAGTACTATAGCTTACTAGGGTATATATATTAGACTTAATAGTCACTATATACAGTAATTCACTTCTATTCATTTTACATCAAATTAAAACTTTGGGTGTAAGATTCGGATAATTATTTATTAAAAGCTAGACATTTTAAATGAGAATAAGAAAGAAAAGTATGTCTTTGTGCCCCCTTTTCCCTGTTAATGCCCTATCGGCATTAACTGGCTAAACTTTGCTAGATCCGCCCCTGCACAGTTACCTGTGGAAGCCCGTTTCCGCCACTAAAAAAAAAAAAAGCTAGTATCCATAACTCGAAAGTTCGAGTTATTATCTCGAAATTTCGAGAAATATAACTCGAAATTTCGAGTTACTTTTCTCAAAATTTCGAGTTAGCTCTGCCAATCAAAAATATACGTGAATGAGGTCGCTTTCTTGTTACCCGGAAGCATATGGCGCAGGACCGCGCACTCAAAAACGGATCCCAACAAATTAAAGTATGTTTGCTGATAGTAACACCATGTGATTCAGCTAATAACACAGGGATTTCATCATTTGTGAAGCCAGGCTGAAAACACTCAGCAATCTGTGCATTCACGACTGGATGTAATACCGGTAGCTTAGCTGTAGCATTTGTAGCTGAGGGCTTCAGCTTCCGGGTAACATGGAAATGACGTCATTCACGTAGATTACTGATTGGCAGCGCTAACTCAAAATTTCGAGTTGCTTTTCTCAAAATTTTGAGTTAATATGTCGAAATTTCGAGATAATAACTTGAAATTTCGAGAAAATAACTAGAAATTTTGAGTTATGGATCCTTTTTTTTTTTTAGTGGCGGAAACGGGCTTCCATAGTTACCAGCCGTCAGCTACGTAGAAAAAGATCCTCGAGTAGAAAGTAATAATAAATAAATTCTAACAACAGCTGATCAAGCTTAAACGTGCTGCTGTTGTTCAGCCGCTGGTTTCCTCTTTCTGGTGCAAAGTGGGCCAAAAACAAACCAGAGAGACGGACTCGCGACAGAAAAGCCGATCAGCTGATCGTTAAGCAGTTTCATGATTGAAGTAGCAGCAAGAAGAGGCAGTCGCTCCATATATCGTTTGGTAAGCTTAACGCAGGAATGCTTTACAAACATTCAGAGATGGACTTACACACTTGCTTTACTTCTCTCGGGGATAACTTGAAATGCCGGGTTGCTAGCGAAGCTCCACATGCTATCCAGACCACCGACAGGTCCCGCATGCCACAGCCGCTCTATCACGTGATGCATACTGCTCCGACGTGCTAACGTTCTGAGGCGAGTTACGGCGTGTTGCAAGTTTTGTGAGGTGCTTTCGTGATATTTAATGGATCGGATTACATTTTTTATTTTTCTCCGATATCCGATCCAGTAATTTAGGTCAGTATCGGACCGATACGTAATATCGGATCGGTCCATCTCTAGTAGGCGGTAGGGTAAAGTGTCTTGCCCAAGGACAAAACGACCAGGACAGAGAGCCCGGGGATCGAACCGGCGACCTTCCGGTTACAGATGCGCTTCCCAACCCCCTGAGCCATGGTCGCCCCATATTAGTTAAATATATTAGAAATTTAGCCAAAATAGTATGTAGTGTGCTGTTTTTTGTTTGTTTTTCTGCTTTAATTGTGATGAAAACTCAGTACATCTCAAATCTCGTCTTTTAGCTTCTCCCTGGATGGACGCTCGTAAGACCCCTAGTAAAATAGATCTCTACGATGTGCGCAGGAGGCCATGGTAAGAAAACTGGCTCAAGGATAACAGTGTTAGTCAGAATATAAAACTTAAACTTTTATGTCATTATGTGTCTTTGTATATCTATTTCATTGTTTACATGTAGAGCTAATTAGACGTAAGCAGGGTTTTTTAATTCAGTCAAATAATTCAATTAAATAATGCCTATTGCATTTCAGTGGAATATTGTTATGATTATTATTACTGTGAAAATTTGGTGAATACATTTTTTTTAGTCTTTAATTGATTGTTCCGTGCAGGTTGTATAAATTTGAGTGCATTCACACAGCACACAAATTGTATTCACTACAGGAATAAAGATTTTTTTTGTGATAAAATTTTGTATTGCTCTAAAAATAATAATTTGTAAAAACAGCTAATTGTTGATTGCTTTGAATAGCTACTGATTTGACCTTTTCATCTTTAAATCATTACCATTGAGTTATTAACATAATGTCATCCATATCGCTCAGTCTTATATTAATATGACAATGAAAATATGACTCAAGTGTGTAAAGTGTTATTGTATTTTCTCAGCATAAATGATTATGCAAATGGTTGGCCCTCAGAGTATATGTGTCTCAGTCCAGAAATGTGTTTGCATTCATTTATGACCATCTAGGTACATTCAAGGAGCCGCCTCACCGAAAGATATGCTAATTCTCGTGGATGCGTGAGTTGTTTGATAATCTTACTGATCCATAACCTTCCTGCATCCATCATGATTTCCCCTGATTGAAATGCATGCCTTTCTAGCTTTGCCACATAGTGTAATGTATTTCCCAAGGCAGAAGCAGTTCTAATTACATCGAGTAAAATCTCACAGGACAAGAACTGAGCAGACAGATTGCTGTGAGAAGCTGTCAGGTATTTCTTTCTTGTTTTTTTTTTTAGGAGTGGGAGTGTGTCTGGCTTGACGCTAAAACTGATCAGGACCTCTGTCAGCGAGATGCTGGAGACTCTTTCTGACGATGACTATGTCAACGTAGTCAGTGTGAGTATTATTAGACTGCCCACTTGCTGAATGTTGGGTGGTCTGTTTATTGAAGGTGACGGGGGGGGTCAGAATTTACACCCAATTCGTATCCATTCACATACATCTTTACACATACACAACAAATGCCCATACACAGACACACACATATACACACAAATAAAAGAGAGGCAGAGAGATGGATGACCAGTAACGAAATATGGATTTCTCTCTGGTCTGGCCACCATGAAACAGGCCTTTAATGAAATACCCACTGCTCTATTTGGTGTACAGGATTAAAACTCTGCAGTACATGGCCCCTCCCCACCTCTAGGCCCTCAAATGTGGCTGTGGCTGTGTATGTCCATTCCCAACGCTCCTAAAGGAATTAAAGCTGCACCTCTGAGTGGAGTGAACCCCAGGAAACATTTATCACCCTCTTGTTCTCTCCATCATTTGTTCTTTTCATCACTGAGCCATGCAATTCCTGTCAGCATTTCACCATATACCTCCATTCATCTCTTTGTGTCAATGAATGCCCTTCCTTTACACTGTATGCCTCCACTTTTCTATACACAGCCAAGAAACATTCCTCTTCTCACTATTCCTTCTGTTTTTTACCTTCATTTTTACTTTTCTCGCCCACCCATCACTTCCATTACATTCTTCCTCTACAGCTTTTCATTCTCTGGCCATCTATTCTAAGCTTTCCACACTTGTGATTACACTTGAATAGAGCCAATCAGGAGATTGTGTGATGCGTAGATGGGTGCCTGTGGAGGTGTTTATTAAGACAGGTCTTTATAGAGATTGGAGCTGTCTTCGTTCTCCTTGCAAATGACAGCCATTCCGACTTTCTTTCCTCTCTCGAGGGACCTTTTGTCTTGGACGTAATGTATTCGGTTTCATGGTGGACTTTTGATTCTGCAAAGATGTGCAATTATTGGCTACTGTTGGTGTGTGTGTGTGTGTGTGTGTGTGTGTGTGTGTGTGTGTGTGTGTGTGTGTGTGTGTGTGTGTGTGTGTGTGTGTGTAAAATGAGATGGTGAGAGATTTGTAGAGACACTGAAATCCAATTCAGTTTTGACTCAGTTTTATGACTTTTGAACTTGAACCCTTTAAAAGTACAGTGCATGAGTTATGATGAATCTATAGTCCAAAGAACTCACCTGGTTGTATCAAGGTACTAAAAACTTCATTTAGGTTTGTTGCAGTTTAGACAAGTATTAAGACTATGTGGCTCAAACAAGCCAGCAGTATACCTATTTTATATAGTCAAGAACCATAAACTAAAGTTTGGTTGATAATTTTAACAATAATTCTTAGGACTTATTTGCAACCTGTAATATCATACGGCTACCTGTTTTCATTGTTCCAGTCTGTCTTTTTTTACATTTCTATTTTTTAGCAGTTTTGTATTTTTAGCTGTCAACAATATTATTTGCTAAGCATAATGTCAGTATAAGAAACAGGGAGGTTATCAAAAACAACAAGACAGCTAAAGTCAAAATGAAATGGATTTATAATATTCCTGCTGCAATATATCAGTTACATAATGGTAAGTCAGTGTCAATTTCCTCCTGTTTCAGCAAAAATCATTATTCCTTCTGTCAGTCACCATATCTATTTCTTTCTGTCATTGATTCACTCATTTATGCACACACACGGACACACACACACACATGCATACACATATCCACTGCCCGATGTCTGGTCCTCAGGGTGTTGTTACCTGTCACTAAATCATTAGTCTCTGATATTACCCACAAATCCCTCCTCATTAACAGTAGCCCAGGGACTAAGTTGGCATTTGGTCACGGAAGATGCTCGCGCTCGTTCTTCACAGCAGGTCAGGTCAGACGATTGCTGATGGCTGCCTCTCTTCCTTTCCTTTTTTGCTCTCTCTCTCTTTCTGTTTTTTTACCCTTGTCTTCTCTCTTTCCCACACCTCTCACACCACAAGCCTCCACCACATTTATCCAACCTGCTCAGCCATGTTTTGCTGGCATCAATCTTTTAGCCAGCGTCAGTCCAGTGAACAAGCCTGAGTAGTAAACCAGAATAGAAGACAGTCCGCTGGGATTAGAGCTTGAAGATTAGTCTTCTCTCTTGTGTCGTCACTAATCCATTCCCAAGGCCTGGACCATCACACACACATATAAGAGCTGTTGTAATAGGATCACGGCAGAATAGTGGAATTTGCGGTAGACCGCGTTCACATTCATGTGCAGGGCCAAAAAGGCAGTCTTACAATGAAAGAATATGGCTTTTTCTTAGTCATTCCACAGGTCTCTGTATAGCAGTGTTTATTTTTTTTTAATAAAGTAATTAAATCAGATAAAACTATAATTCTCTGTCACGTACCCTTTATGAGATCATTATTCTCTAAAAGGCAAACACCTCACATTCGTGCTTAGCCCCCCACCACCCGCCACCAACACCACCACACACACACACACACACGTTCTCTTCCTCTCACTTTCTGCTCCTCACCATCCCACATGCTAGACCCACCTTCTTCACTTCTGCTTTAGATAGATTATGTGATAACAGATTCCCATCTGCTCTACACAGTCAGTCATGTGAACTTCCATTGTGTGTTTTGGTGTTTTGTGTTGTGCATGTGCCATAGCCAATATTGTATTGCTTTCCGGTCCAGCAGAGATGTGTATGTCTGTTATTGTCATTCTAAAAGGAACTTCAAGGCTGCCTGGTTCCCTGGAAACGCACACAGACACACATGCACACATACTGATCAAGGCAGACATATAGTCAGGGCTCTTTTTGCCCCCCTGCTTGTCTTTGTACATCAGTGTTTCAGCCTCCCTATCGGCCATCTCGCAGAGATGCATTGATTAGTTGAGATCGATGAGGTGCAGTATTGTTTCAGAAGAGTTCTGCTACACAATAGATGTGCTGGGAATGGGACAGCTGGCTGCTCTGCTGTCCCATGCCCTTCCTGCACTATCATTAGAAGTTCTTTTTGTGTTTTTAATTTATTCTGTCTTTTTACTTATTGCCATTGGGAGTTCTTTAAAAATGCCTTTCCTCCTCACTCCTAGGCACTCCTGAAGCAAACTCAAACATACCTCATTTTTTGGGGGGTGGAGTATTTGTGCATGTGTGCACTGTGAGGTGGAAATAAGCAAGTCTCACCTTTAAAAAAAGACGGTGAGGTTGCCTAAGCTCGTTTCTATATAACAGAATCTTGTTTCCATGGGTACCAAATCGTTGAGCTCTGAGGATGTGAAGCAATTAGTGGAGCTTGATGAATGTGTCTGTTTACCACTGCCTGATAACAGCCAAGGCCAGGTGGTAGTGTTTGTGTGTCTGTGTGCGTGTGCTGCATTTGTATGATGTGTTGAATTTGCACACATGTTATAATTGTATGAATAAATTTCAGGTCATAACTCCTGTCCTGTCTGTTACCCAGTTTAACACACTGGTGAAAAACACGGCGTGCTTCGACCGTCTGGTTCAAGCCAACGTGAGGAACAAAAAGCTGCTGAAGGATGCCGTGCAGAACATCAGCGCTAAAGGAATTACAGACTACACAAAGGGCTTTGAGTTTGCTTTTAAGCAGCTCTCTGCGGTAAGAAAAACGTGTTATTTTGTCTGACTTTGGGCTGAGAGAGTGCACAAGTTGTAAAGCAAGTTTTGAATGAGTGTTGCCTCCATTTTTGTTGACAGCCTCAGATTGTTGTGTTTTACTGCCATCTGCTGGTTAAATGTGTTGCCTCAACTCAACTGCCTGGTCAGTGAAAGAAATAATGCAATGTTACATTTGATTGACGAGAACCTCAGTAATGATGGAACATTTCCAAATAATACCTCCTACTGCTATTTCCTGAACACATTTCCTTCATCTGATAGAAAAATCCATGAGGTCAGAGAAAGGTGTGAAGGAGAATTTATAGCGACTCAGGAAAAGAGAAGCAAATGCACCTGCAATTTTGCCAACTCCTTAATAATGTCCAGAAGATGAACTACAAAATGTGCGTCTTGGTGATCCAGTGTAACTCGTTTTCACCCCCTTGTTTAGAATTTCTACTAATAAAGTAAAATTCGCTCCAACCTTAAATGCACCTCAATCAATTTTATAGCTCATAATCTCGATTTGAGTCTGTATAAATCTACATTCTTCATGCATTTTTGGCAAGAAGCAGATTTTATTGCAGCAGTGGAATGTTCATAGTCCACCTGTAGGTTTAACAGCCTGCTGTTGAAAATTCAAAACCTATCAGCAGGTTGTTGCGTGAAATAGCTTTTAAAACGCTTTTAATTAACATTTTCATGATCTGTGCCACTTTGTCAGGTTTGTTGACGCTATAAATTTTGGGATGTTATTGTCTCACTTCCTGTCATAAAGGATGGTTCAGTTTATCCGGTGCCAAAGGAGCTAATAAAGGAAGCACTGAAGCACATTTCAGTGTAATTAGACATTTCAAACCTCTTATTATAGCTAACACACAGAAACGTCCAGGACAGTTCCCTCAATTATGAACTTTCCTAATTGAAATTGACTATTCAATCCCATCCCTTACTTTTTACTGAATAATATTAATGCAGGAGGTTAGAAGTAGTGCATATTTGATAGGATTCAGAGTAAGATGCTTAGAATTTCTGCCAATGAATCTAAGCAGCTGTTCATAACCTTTTCTGCTGGACAAAGCAAAAATATATGTCACTATATGAAATGCAGGTGGATCTTCATAACAAAAGGTTTTATCTATTGGGTGAAAAACGTAGGATTTGTCTACTCATTTATATATATATATATATATATATATATATATATATATATATATATATATATATATATATATGTGTGTGTCATCTTCATAGATAGAGGCTGCATTGTGGTGGAATGGTTCACACTGTTGCCTCGCAAAAGAAGAAGATCCTGGGCTTAAATCTGCTGTCTGAGACTCCTACAGTACCCAGGCTTCCTAACAGTATAAAAAAATGCAGGCTTTCTCTGGGATAGAAGAAAACTGCCTTTAACAATTTTTTTTAAGTTGTGTGGAGTATTGATTATCCAAAATGGGTGTTTTTGATGAAAATGCTAGATAAAATCTTATCTAAGCAACAATGCAAAGCAAAGGCTTTAGTGAATGCCTGAATATTTTTATCCAAAAGAGTAATTGATCCATGTGCCCACAGCATATGTGGCTAAAAACATGACAAATAATTAATCTCCATGCTTATTTTCTTTGATAGACTAATGTGAGCAGAGCAAACTGCAACAAGATTATCATGCTGTTCACTGATGGAGGAGAGGAAAGAGCCCAGGCCATATTGGAGAAATATAATGCTGATAAAAAGGTATACAAAAGACACACATACACACACGTTTCTATCATTATAGAGGACAGTTAACTTGCATAAATTCCTTACTTTCTCAAACTAATTCTGCCATACTTTGAAATTTAAGGATTAACATGTTGGGGACTCGCTTTATGTTCAGCAGTGGAAGTGGGAGCAAATCGATTTACATCACACATTATGAATAATACAAAAACACACCAACAAACTTGTGTGGTGCTACCTCTTGGAACTCCCTTTGGGTTGTGTTTTCTGTGTGCACATTCTCTTTATGGAAAATTTCTTCACAAGGCAGATGAGGGTGTGAAACTAAGGCTTCACACAGTTTCCAAAATAGCTGTGATGCTGTGCAAAATATGAACAAAAGCAGAACTGAATGCCTCTGCAAAGGAACCAGGCTAAAGTATGAAATTTCCATTTCCTGCTTTATGCTTCCTAAAAAATGTAAACTCCTAGATTAACATGCGAAAGCCAGATCATTGCATTTCTGATAATAAAACTTGAAACTCAATGTTTTTTGAGCCCAAACTCATTTAAGATGGAAAACTTTCCTGTGGTCTGACAAATTATTTATCTTATTCTCTCCTGGTCCCCACATTTTCCAAAATTCTTTGAGTTTCATCATTTCACATGTTGTTTTTGTACTATTTTCAAATAAATACAGGTTCTAAATGGTCTGTAACTCATTTCATTTATTCATACAAGGATTTACACAAGGTTGCATCACATTTCAACATGTCAAAACAGGAAAAAGATTACATATGATGCTCAAAGTCACATGATCAAAGACAGATTTCACCTTTATTTTGTGTTCAGCTTCAAATGTGTTAAATTGATTAATAATTACAAGTATTTACATTAACTTTTTGTAAAACAATTTTTCTTTGTTGGTTTTTCAACATTGTAAGAGGTAACATGGAGAGATTTTTTTTAACCTTATGCTTCAGGTTAGGATCTTCACCTTCTCAGTAGGACAACACAACTATGACAAAGGACCCATTCAGTGGATGGCCTGCTCGAACAAAGGTACAACACTGATCCCAGCATGCATCTGTGCTTAATCTGTTCTTAGTATTAGATAACATTATGTTCTACTGAAGAATTATTTCTATGATTAACTTGGAATATTTAAGGACACCATAAAACATGCTAGAAATGCTCAAAGGGCATGAGCACAGGACATCCTTGGCCAGATGACGGAAATCTTAACAGGAATGGCTGTCTTAAATGAGCCTTGTGAGACTAATCAGAAAACAATCTCATCAGTGATGCACAAGCAAGAAATCTGGATGGCAGTTATTTCATCTATTTATTTGTGTCTTGTAACTCAGCTGACACAATCAAATGTTATGATGCAGTAAATTAAACTGCAGATTTACACCCTGCATCATTTACTCCTACATGGTGTTTTATTCATACCTACACACTATCTATTGTTTCCTAATCATCTATCCAGGTTATTTCTATGAGATTCCATCCATCGGAGCCATCAGAATAAACACACAGGTGATTTTTTTATTGTGTTTAACATTAATTAATGTTAAACAATGAACAAATATGTTTTATTTGAAAGAATCTGCAGTATTAAATGATGTTATGTGTCCAATTTAGGAATATCTAGATGTCCTGGGAAGACCTATGGTTCTAGCAGACAAGCAGGCCAAACAAGTCCAGTGGACTAACGTATACCTTGATGCTCTGGTATGTATTTTGCAATTTATGTTACAAATTCTTTTTGTTTTTTTTAATGAAAAAATCACCCATTTTGCTCCCAGTCTCATTTGCTCAAGAATATTGCTAAATAGGGCTTTTGCTTTATTCTCGATCAGGAGCTTGGTCTCGTCATCACTGGAACGCTACCTGTCTTCAACAGAACCAAGACCATAGATAAAAGAAACGAGGAGGTATAGTAAATGAATGCATGAACACATCACGTGAGGGCTCGTATCTGTCCTTATCTTTTCTCTCATACTTCCCATTAGCACCAGAATCAGTTGATTCTTGGCGTAATGGCAATTGACGTGTCTCTTGATGACATCAAGAAGCTCACACCACGCTTCACAGTGAGTGTACCACCCATACCCGTGTGTGATCACATGCATGGAGACAAATGCGTTTGTTGTAAAGGAGCAACTTTACACGACTTGCTCAGTTGTAAAGCACTTGCTCAGATGTTTCCCTCTGGAGCAATTAGTGAGTGATGTGATTCATTAGATGGCTTGTTCTTTTCAAGTCTGTTTAAAAAAGGTCACGCACTGATAAGACTGCTTTTGCTATCAGTTACTGGTCCTTTTTCCATTGTGTACTCATGTTTTTGGACCAGTGGAGCTGCTCTTTTGTACAGTGCCTTGACATGTCAAAAATCTAACATAATCATGGGATTTTATGGACTCACATATTATATTCTCTTTCCTCTGTACCTCTTTTGCATCAGATTGGTCCAAATGGTTACTACTTTGCCATAGATCCCAATGGATATGTGCTGCTGCACCCCAATCTCCAGCCAAAGGTATGGCGTCTGATCTTGTACATAACTTTGTGTGGCTGAGTAGGTCCATATCTGAAAGCATTAAATTATATCTATTTATCATGGTTTCACAGTAACTGTTTGCACTCAGTAAATATTATTCTGGTTAGCATATGGTGCGGTCTTCTTTCAAACTTTCCCATGTTCACCACGTCACCTCATCAGTCTTCATAAAGAGAATCTATCCCTCTGTTAGAGTATGACTTGCTATCATCAGTCCTCAGATATTGGCTAGAAGGTCACTCTCCCCTTATGGGATTAAATAGATATATAGACTTGGCAAAGAATATTTTTTAAGAGTAGCAATTACTGCATTCAGTCTCAATAAAAAATAATTTAATGTTTTAGTTTTAAAAAATTAGATAATACATATTTAAAGCTGAAATATGGAGGAAACGCTTCCATATAAAGCAACCAGAATGCCACCGAGCATACTAACTTTCAAGCTGCTTTTTTTGACCTGTCAAAAGCTCCGATTCATCTTACAATTCCTCAAAGAAAAGCACTAGTGCTTCTTGCCACAGGCATGTATTAAGATGTGGCCCATTATGAGTTAGCAATAACCTCACAGATGGTCTCTGCCTACTTTTCAGCAAATCTCTGTGCATTTCACTACTTTCAGCCAGAGGCAAATACACACTCAGAGCCTCCATTAGGGCTTTATTCTGCCCAGAACTTTAGAAAAGCAACTCTTAAATCCTTTAAGACACACTTGCGCTATCAATCCACTGTCCACACTCAGCTCCATTAAGGCAAGGCAAGGCAAGTTTATTTGTATAGCACAATTCAACAACAAGGTGATTCAAAGTGCTTTACAGAGACATTAGAAACAAAAAACAAATAAAAAGCACGATTTAAAATGGATTAAAACAAGCAAACAAACTAACTAACTAATTAACAAACAAATAAAACAGTATATAAAATCAAAACAGATAAAATCAGAACAGTAGATAAAATCAGTAGTTAAATGTAAGTTTTGAAATTTAAGCTTAAAGTGTGGATTTGGTGCTTTATTCAAATGCAGCTGAGAATAGGTGAGTCTTCAACCTGGATTTAAATAAACTGAGTGTTTCAGCTGATCTGAGGCTTTCTGGGAGTTTGTTCCAGATATAAGGAGCATAAAAGCTGAATGCAGCTTCTCCGTGTCCGGTTCTGACTCTGGGAACTGATAAAAGACCGGATCCAGATGACCTGAGGGATCTGGAAGGTTCATACTGGGTCAGGAGGTCACTGATGTATTTTGGTCCTAAATCATTCAGAGCTTTATAGACCAGCATCAGAACTTTAAAGTCTATCCTCTGACGGACAGGCAGCCAGTGTAAAGACCTCAGAGCTGGACTGATGTGGTCCACTTTTTTGGTCTTAGTGAGGACTCGAGCAGCAGAGTTCTGAATGAGCTGTAGTTGTCTGACTGATTTTTTAGGTAGACCTGTAAAGATGCTGTTACAGTAGTCAAGCCTACTAAAGATGAATGCATGGACTAGTTTTTCCAGGTCCTGTTGAGACATCAGATCTTTTATCCTTGAAATATTCTTGAGGTGATAGTAAGCTGATTTTGTTATTATTAAGACAAACATGTATGGAGCCACTTATTTTAAATAGTAAACATCAGAAAAATAAGGCAGCCCTGGGCTCAAAAAGGTTATACCACCTCAGCACTGAGTATTTTTATGAATCTTGATGTATTTCTGTCATTGTGTTTATTGCAAAGCTATATAGTGTTTGTTTGAGCTGTTTTGCAAACTTGTGTATGTTTCTTTTTTCTTTTTAGTCTCAACAAACAAAAATAATTCCTCCATCTCAAAAAACTTCAGAGAAATCAAAGTGTATCTCTGTATCTTTTTTCATAAATTTCCTAGAAAAGAATCCGTAACAGGAAGCTCAGACTCAATAATAAGTATGCTGTCACTTTTCATGAGGTGAGATAAAGTAGATGCACTGTAGTTTGCAGAAGTAGTCATGTAGTGTTTTCTGTAGATGAAGAGATTTCAGTGATGAAGAAGCAATAACCACAGGTAAATATCACCTTTTGCAGAGGGTATTACTGCTCCTTTTAGTAGTTTGCAATTCTGTCTGAATCACCTATGCGGAAGCCATTCTACTTTATTCTGTTGCTTGTGATTATTGCTCTGCTGCTATATATATTGTTTGTTTTTGCCATTATGCACCATCCATCAGTGTGGGTTTATTCTGTCCCAAGGCTGGTTCTGACAAAAGTGAAAAATAGTTAGTCGTTTAAAACATATACTATTTTTAGTTAAACTGAAAGATGGCAGCATTACATTAATAAAAATATACAGTGAAGTTAATCCAAAAAATTAGACATATGATTTTTTTAACCTTTGTAGAGAGTGTATTTGCTGCATTTGCTATTCTCCAACATTTCCATGGCTGCTTGTACTTTCCTTGTATACGTGAGGGGAACAACTACACAGAAGCAGACACTGTTTTATCATTTTACTTGTTTTCTGCTTTTTTGTATCAGTAATGTGACAATATGAGTTTAGATTTCTTCAAATCTGTATAAAAAGGCATGGAAGCCTAAAGCAGTCTTACTGTAATAACACACATACTGTGCTCAACCATACATAAGCATCAAAGTTATTCTCTGAATGACCTCATGTTCACGTGGCATTCAAGCAAGCTATTTTCCCATCAGCCCACCACACACTTTTTAAATACAGTATGTAAGGCTTATTGTCTGAATGGGAGATTGTATGAATACTGATGGGGCCCTCTCTTTCTTTTTCTCTCTCTGTCTTTCACACTGCCTCAGCTCTCTCTGTATTTGATTATGTTTGTGCATATTTCATATTCATCACGCAGACCTACCCTGCTGCTAGAGTGTTTTCATTCTGATCTCACACCCCATCTCTGCTCACTACATTGTTGACATACAGCGCTCCCCTACTTTGTTAACCTTTCTTTTCTAACTCCTTACGTCTCATTTGATTTTTTTCTTTGCCGTTCACACCATCCACCGTTCCCATTTCCCTTCTCTTCATTTTCTTTCCTGTCTAACTCGTGTTTGATGTTTCATTCTGTATCACCCAGTGTTGTACCTCTTGATCTTTTATTCTTTCTTTTCTCGTTTTCATGCTGAGATGCTTCGTCGTCGTCATCTTCCTTTCTTGCTTCAATTTATTTCACTTACATGTAAGAACCTTGACTGATGCCCTTTAGTGTAAATGATTATTCTAGTTAGTTGCTTTTCTTGTCCATGTGCATTTCCCACAGTAAATCATACTTCATTTTAAAACTTAAAAAAAATCACAGTTATTCTTCTGTATCCAACATAGCCGACTTTACAGTCAAATTCTATGTGTTTTGAGCTGCAGTATGGCTTGCACAATGTATACCACCGTGCAAGAATCTATATAGAAAACATCACTTCAACACTGCTATGCTCTCACCACCCAACCCTTTATTTTGAGTGAAGAACTATGAAGGACACGCTGGTATCAGATTCCATGTACTGCTGTTTTATAGAGAAGCACAAGATTACTGCTACTATTTTATACCACCATAAAGCCACTCAGACGTATAGGGTTTTTAAGAGAGGACATTCATAGAGTTCAGTGTCACTTTGTATCAAATCTGATTTAGCTGTGTCTGATGTCAGATATGCTGTCAAACTGCTACCATATGTTAGCCTTTATTTTTTATTCCCAAGATTTAACTAGATTCATGTGTTGAGGAAAATTAATGAACTGACCCAAAAAGAACATCTCAAATAACTGATGTCTCGTTCGTATTAGTAACACCTAAATGCATATCTGCTGCCTACCTACCCAGTACTGTAGTACACCATCTGTTATACCATCTTCTTTTTCCACTTAAGGGTTTACTCCTTAACAGTTTTTTCATAAATCGTAGATCTTTAACCATGCTCTAAAAATGTTCCCAAAACTACTAAAAAGCACACTTTTGTTAATAATGTTATTAAAGTAAAAAATCCGAGGGTTGTTGTGTCATTGTTTAAGTATCTAAACACAAACACAATAATGCATATTTGCACATGTTTACATTTTTTGTTAGGGTTTTTTGTGCCGTTTATATGAACAAAACCTTTTAAAATTATGGAATAATGTGTTGTATAGCCTTTCTGACCACATCAACCCAGTCCCTTTAGACACATAAGTAGTTGTGGGAGCCAAATTCAAAAGACCAGAAGTGCTCACAACTATAAAATTAGCTTTTAAGAAAAGGAAACAAAGGGAAGTGACACAATATGAACCTATTCAGCTAAACTGCACATAAGAAAATTAACAGAAAATAATGAAGTGAAGCAGACTGTCTATGAAACTGTGCAGAATTGTTTTAGTTTGATACGTGTCACTCTTTGGGAAATTGCAGAAAGCTGTGTATAAGACAAGACAGATTTCCCTTTTTTTTTTAAGTCAGCATTAATAAAATATAATTCTTTTTGGTGACTTTACTATTCTTAGTGATACACTTTGAAAAGGTTGATGTAAATGTAGATGAAACTGTCTTACTTGTCCATCCAAGTTACAAAATGCAGAGGAATCTGTGGTAGACTGATGATGAATAACAACTGCAAAATGGTCCCCTGGAACATTTTTCTATATTAGCTCAGTAGACTTTAGATTAATTGATATGTCTGAGTGAATTTTATATTACAAAACTCATAATATATTATTTCGAGCTCAGCTAATCAAAAGTCTATAGTTAAATCAAAATTCTCTTTTGTTTTGATTACACTGATCCTGTCAGTGTGATCGATTAAGCTGTCCTTAGTTAATCTAAAACTGTGCCTCTCTCTGAGTGAAATATTATTCTTTCCACAGAATCCTAAATTTCAGGAGCCTGTTACTCTGGACTTTCTGGATGCTGAGTTGGAGAACGACATCAAAATAGAGGTGTAGTATATAGAAGCATGTCAATCCCCACCAAACAAACACTTACACAAGTCAAAGTTTGCTACACAAACATACAGATAAGTATGCTGTCATGTCATGTCCTGTCACAGGTTACTATTCCTAGTATCTGCAAGTGATTTTCCAGGTTGTCTGACTAACTTGTTTATATGAAGCCATGAGACAAACTGTTAAAATGATCTATTATTATCAGTCAATCAGATTTTTTTTTTAAAAAAAGTCTAACTGTGGTGTTTGTTTGTCTCGATGTGTAGATCAGGAGGATGATGATTGATGGTGAAACAGGAGAGCGCACCATTAACACTCTGGTCAAAACTCAGGATGAGGTAAGGCAATATGCTGAAGGGGATTAACATATTACAGTGCAGTAACTGGTGGAAGTTTTTAAAATCGGCAAACCCAGCCACAAGCTACATTATATCTTCAATGCAAAATTATATTAACTTTATGAATGAGGCACTGAGAAATGCTACAGGTACTGTAACTGAAAATGATTGAGCCATATTGACATATTAAGTCAGCCATCGGAATAAATATGTATTTCAAGCTTTCTTAAATGTTTACATTTATTACATTTAAAGAGTTACAACTTATGTAGAAACATTTTTATCTCCTGCTACAAGAAAACAGTTTTTGTTCTTGCTTGCTATAACGAAGGTCCTTTTACGTGAGGATATTTTGGACTATTTTTGCACCACAAGTGAGGCGCTAATGATGTGACAGAGCTCCTGGTTTGGGATGAAAATAGTTTCTTTGTAACAAATTTATTTATTTTTCCACAACTAAAAGGGAGCTTGATACATAACTTTACCATTTACAGAACAATTCTGAATTCTCTTTTTTGTATGCACCATCTGTTGCAGAGGTATATAGATAGTGGAATCAGGACCTACACGTGGGCACCAGTCAATGGAACAGACTACAGGTGACACATATTACAAAAAATGTTGTATTATATATATATTTTTAAGGATGCTCGAGCAGTTTAATGTAAGCTCAAACCCAGTTAGCACTGAGACATCAAATATTGGAAGATGCTGCTGTACCTAAGCCAACAGGGGTCACTCTCTTGTTTCTAACACCAGCCTCTGTTGAATGAGAAATACATTGAAGAGATCACACGTGTAGTCCACCATAAATGTATTCCGGAAAAACAACTCGTTGGAAAGCATCCTTTATTTTATTTTTTATATATTTAATGTATAATTTCGTACTTACTGTACAATTTTATTCAGATGTCTGTGGTCATATTTTCTGCAGCCTGGCTCTTGTGTTGCCTAAATACAGTGAACACTTCATTCAAGCTAAACTGGGGGATGATATTAAACAAGCCATGTGTAAGTATGACATATACAACGACGATAGCCAGCATGCAAACAAATCATTACCCCCATGCATACTGTCTTTGGGTTTTTCTCTTGAGTGTCCCCACTTGCTTTGTACTGCTTGTTCATAGCTGGAACCATAGCGACTCCTTTGTATTTACTCCTCAAAACTGCCAAATCCCTACAGAGTTTCTCTTTTCTAGTGCAACCCACTGGTCAGTCACCCTTCGCTCCCACACAAACTCTTCCACATGCTTTCCCTCTCACATACCCAGCCCAAGCACTGGTTCTTTTGATCTTATCTCTTTTTTTTACTCTTCCATCCTTCTTTACTCCCTTCATTTGGGCTTCTCTCATCTCCTCATTATCATCTCCATTACCAAACTGGTTGTTTTTCTTTTCCTTTTTTTTTTTTTTGGACATTACACTTTTAAAAATATTTCTTTGGCCAATTATGTCTTCCTTTCTGTCGTTAAGTCCAACTTTTCTTTCCTAAATTGTTAACAGGGTGATGACCTACCTTAAGCAGACGTACCTTACCCTGGATTGTTTTCCCTGACTCTCAACCTATTTCTCTGTCTCTCTATCTTATCTATAAACCTGTCCTCACCTCACACTCTTCATTCTTCTTGACACCCCTCTCCCACCACCCCCATGTTCGTTTTTTTCTTTAGCCGATTTATTTATTTTTTCACTCTGCGCTCCAAAAGCTCTCTGTATAATGCAAACTGGCTGCTTCTTTTAACACCTCAGAACATAGCGAATGTAATAGTTGCTTATAAATCATGAAACCACAGCTCAGGCACACGCTAACATGCACACATTCTGTGTGCCACTCTTTGTACAATTGCTTGCATTTTGATTCTGATGCAGCTTTTTCTGTCTCTTCTCCTGCTTCTGAACCGGGATTTTACAGCTTCTTCTTGGGGCAAGTACTCACTGTTCTGTGTCCTCTGTTTCCTTCTTGCTGTGTGATGCTCTTCCATTGCATAAACCTTTTTGTCCTTTATTGTTTGCATTATTGCATTGAGATGTTTATTATCTTATCAAAGCACAGAGGGCCATTTTAGTCAAAGGTTAAAAGTGGCTGAAAAAAGCACTGGATTTGGCATATCTGGCTTTAGTTAATTTTTTGCTAACTTTGATGTAAACACCACAAAGCATAAGCAATGGTGTAGCTATTCCAACAGATGAGATCTTGACTGACTCTTTCAGCCTTTGTATCGCTCCCTCGGTTACCGTAACGACTTTGTCACTGTGCCATAAATGCTGTCAGAACGTTTACAGGCCTGTTAAAGAAAGTAGCATGCTGTGCCTCAGTGCCACAGTCTGCACTGATAGGAAGATTGGACTCTAAAGTTCTCCATACAGCCATATTGAGTTTCCATTTGGGGCCAGACCACCAGAACACCACCTTAATCCAGTTTATCGAGAATTTCTAATATCCTACAGAACAAGTGAGTGCAGAAACCACCTTGGTTTCTGCACTCACTTGTTCTCTAGGATATTAGAAATTGTCCTTATAGCAATGGGTAAGGTGGATGAATATATGTGGGACTTTTTCTTTATCTATATAGTGGAACTTTATATTTGTTGATGTGACCCAATACTGTGGTAGAGGAAGTGATGAGAGAAAAGTAAAGACATAAAGACACCCTTCCTAGTCTATAGAGACACAGCAACAATGAATCTGCTTGTTATGTTTTATATGTGAAGGACATTGTTTCATCCTGCACCAGATTTCTATGACCCCAAAGAAACTCGGCGCTCAGTAATTGTTTTTGCAGACTGCACCGCACAAGTCAATATATTTTAAAGGCAATGTCCAAAAAACTCTTCATTTTAAGAGACTACAGAATGATGGCTATTGATGCCTGCCGTGTCATTTATACGATAAGAATTACCAGACTGTTTTTTTTTTAATAAAATCCAGACTTGCAGCAAGTAACACCCTGGAAGAAAAATTTTCTCATATTGTTTTATATTTACATCTTGTTTCCTTGCATTCCCACAGTCTACCCCACCTTTCATTGTTTTATGTTCTGTTCTTTTCTACAAAGTGCAATCAATCTCTGTTATTTATATATTCAAGGTTTGTCTATTAGTCCTAATATCCTTTCAGTGCAGCATAGTATTTCATTACCTACTGTAGGGAATATACACATCTCAACATATTTTCCCAGGTATGACATCATTCGTCAGATGACAAACTCACTTTTATCACCCTTTGTCTTTCCTGCTTTCCCCTCTCTCCTACTCTTTTTCTCTGGGGTCACAACAGGGCAAGAAGGCAAGTATTTCTCAGTCAGTTATTCTCTCATAGCTTCCCATTCTAACTCCATTCACACTCTCTACTTTAATCCATCACCTCATATCTGTCTAATTCTCTTGTGACTATGTATGGCTATGGATTTTGGAGCTTGTCATGGAATTTGGACTCCTGTGTGTGTGTATCAACCAAAATAAATTCTGTTTGTCTGCTTATCATGTCATCTCACAGTGAATACTTTCACATATAGCCATCACACAGCTGGCTCCTATTCTACTTATCTGTAAAAATATATTTTTGGATAATATAATATTTGATACTATGAGCCTAAACAAGGTTGTTTTTTTGTTTTTCAAAAGCAATGGAGACCTTGCAGCAGGAGAGATTTGAAGAATTTGGTTATACCTACATTGCTCCAAGGTGAGTGGTCCTCACATTTACTATACATCCTCTATATACTATACAGGAGATTCCAACTGACCAATGCTGTTTCTTCAGGGAGTACTGCAAAGAGCTGAAGTTGTCACTCAACAACACCCAATTTCTCCTCGACTTCAACCAGTACATTGATAGAAACACTCCAGATGCATGTGAGTCATGCATCTTTTTCAGTGTTATTTCACTGTGCACATTTGTACTTGTTTCCTGCACTGTTGGTACTCATATTGCATATACACCCAGAACAGCAGACGGTATGTTGCATTTCTATATGTGTGTATGTATTTGTACATTGCATATTTTACAGTTTATCATGGTCTAAAAGATTTTCCACTTGCAAATCTTGATCTCAAGGTCAGAGCATGACTGTGATCATTACTATATCCTAAGCAGGATGATAACAGAATTATCGACTGAGTTTCCTACAAGTCTGATGCTGTCATGCTGCACAATGACTCATAGTGTTTGTCATCACCTAATGGATCTCACCCAGAGTATGGCTTACCACCATCATCCAGCTAATGGATCAGTGTACCATGATCCATTTTAACCCAAGGTCAAGTCATGTACTTTGGCATCAATTCTCTTTTTGCTGTTGTTTATGCAGTACGTTGAGTCATTGTGAAATGTTATGGACATGATTTAAAACAACACTCGGGAGATGTTGTGTTGAAACTCTATAGAGAAACGTGCTTGAATGATTTCATTTTGAAAAGCACGTTTTTGAGATTTAAACTTAGCATCTTGGCATCATCTCCCTCCTAAATATACAACAGTCAATCCTTCACAAAGTACACCTGCTTTCTGAATTGCAATAGCCACACAAGCCTCCCTGCTGGATGGTTTTCGGACAGCTGTCATTTTCCCTTGATTTATTTAGAGAAGAACATTGGCTGAATACACCTGCAATTTTTTTCAGACTCTGACTTTCACCTGCATGACAACTTGTTTTATTCTAACTTTTAGCAAATTAGAAGATCTGATTGGTTTCAGCTCACTGGTGCACATTCCAAAAGCATAAGTTATTAATGTTACCTGCCCAGATTTGTAAACAAGAGACTGCTTTTTGCATTACTATAATTCACCTGTCACGCACTGTTGTTGTGCTATGTTTCACTGCCTGGAATATGTAAAAAATACCTTGTCTTTAATCTATAGGTAATGTGTCCCTTGTGAGTCGACTGATCCTGGATGCAGGTTTGACAGCTGAATTGGTTAAACTTTGGAGCGAGCAGACCGTGTGAGTGCCAAAACTTTTAGGTCTTGTGTATTGAAAGCAATGCAAATAAACAAATGTGAAAATCTGCACTTCAATAAAATAGTGATAGGGAATTTAAATAAATTTTCAATATTATGTGGTGATACTCAGGCAAAAGATGATGATTAGAATACAAAATTTCAAATTTGGATTCATTACTCCATAAGACCTGTTGCAACAAATGTTCAATCCAGTTCTTGTATTATTTTCTCCCTTCTTCCCATCTTGATTTGCTTCATTCCATTGAGACCTTATCTGACGAGGCTTCGGCAAACACTAGATGTAGCAGGTGTTTGCTGGAATTGTTTCCTGTTTCCTAATTACAAGTCTTTTTTTGTCCTCAAAACATTTTTTTTTAATGAAACACTGCATATAGTGCTGGGATAAGCCATATTTTCAGCTAATAACACTTTGAAAATATTTTTGGTGCAAAACTACTATTTCATCTATGTCAAGCCATTTTTCATATTCAGCTAAAAAGGTTAAGGCAAATTATGTATTGTTTTAAATAGGCTGCTAATGATGTGCCTGAAGATACAATTTAAAATAGGTTATTTGCTAAGTTGTCTGTATAGAGATGAAACAGGTTAATCCCTTGAGTTCGGTCTGTTTTTTATGCTTGAATGAGACATATGTCAATGTAAAGGGATTTAAAAAACAAACCAAAAACACCCCTGCCGTTCATTTTAAAATGCTCAGCTACAAGGACTAGAGCAGCGGTCTCCAACTCCAAGCCTCAAGGGCTGGTGTCCTGCAGGTTTTAGATATCACCCTGGGTCAACACACCTGAATCAAATGATTAGTTCATTACCAGGCCTCGAGAACTTCAAGACATGTCGAGGAGGTAATTTAGCCATTTAAATCAGCTGTGTTGGATCCTGCAAACATTAGCTGTAGCACACCGGCCCTTGAGGTCTGGAGTCGGACACCCTGGACTAGAGGGTTAGGGTTCAGAGTTGAAAATGAGCGAAAAAGCAGCTAATGTCTAAAGAAAAACTTTGAAAGACTTTTAGAAAACCTGGGAAAGTACTGCCTAACACCATCCATTCATCCATCCACCCATCCAAATTAAGTATGAGTCACAAAACCCACCCTGGAGCCAGGCCCACGGAGACATTGCTGGCAAAAGTCTGGTGATGAATGAGCTACATCATTCCACCACCCATAGGAGGCGCTGTAGAAGTCTGGTGCAGTATGAATCAGATGGTGATTGAAGCCAGAGGCCTTGGCAGTCCGATCCCCTGAAACTGCTTTGGTTACATAGAATGCCATGGCTCTGGTGCAAAAGGAAGCTTAAGATAGTGCTAGTGATGAGGCCTAGTGATACTGGCTAAATTTAATTGGACTTTGGCCAAACGTCTGATTGAATCCAGCCAGGGGTATACTTGTACACCCTGAGTTGGGGTGCTGGAAGGTGCCCCATCTGGAGACTCCATTGTCTTGCGAAATGACAGTGTGACCTGAAGGAATGTGATTGTGATGTCTTAAAAGAATTACAAAGTCTTGTGGCTCGTTGGAAGGAAAATTTAAAGAAATGAGGGGTGACTCAAGACATTTGCACAGTACTATATACATTACAGAGTACTGTGCAGTGGAAAACTTTGTTCTATTTGTACACCACTGCTCTGAACTACCCTAGCTGATGATTACTTCATGCACAATTTATTGGCTGAGCCAACGTTTCACTTCTTTCTTGTCCGCCATGGATGATTTGATCACAACTTATGAGTGAAATATGATGAAAGCAAAGTATAAAATGCATATCACACCCAACCACATTGTGCTTTGCCAAGACGCTGTTTTGAGGGGAAAATAAAATAATTACGTCAGTGTGTTTGCTTTTATGGTATGCCCCCTTGTCTGAAATAATCCCAGCACACATTTACACACACTGAAGGGTATCTGTTTAACATTATGACATATAGAGACAATCGAATGGGTATAAAACAGTTTGTGTCTGTAGTCTGATCTCAGTTCACAAAAGCTCTTTTTCTGTAATTGTGAGTGTGATTGACTTTGATGTTTGATTTTCTGTTGCTTTCCATGTTCTCAGGGATGGGATAGCGGCCAGGTTTGTAGCTACAGATGGAGGAATCACAAGAGTCTATCCAAGAAGGTACTCTTAGTTTTTTCTTTGTATTTACATTGCTATCATTAGCATTGGGAAATATCACTGAATTCTTTCCCCAAATACCTTGTGGTGAAAATGTGTAAAATGAAAATTGATACAGACTGTAATACTCTTAGGTTGAATGGTTTTGGCTGCTTTACTCACTTGCTTCACTGGGCTATTTTACAGAACATGGAGGATTAAATTCTTTCAGCTGAACTCCCAGGGCTTGCCAGACCAGTATAGGACAGGGGTTAAGACTACAAAAACCACAGCCAAATACAGCAGTTTTTCCTCAATTTCTCCTCAATTGCCTGAACAACATTTAGGGGCTCCACTTTTCAAATATACAGCAACATTGCAACTAAAACTGAATGCACATAGTCTTTGTTCTCACAATCAAAAACACAATATACAGTTCGTTATTGCTTTTATTATAAGGACGTCACACCCTACAAAGGGTGTGAGCCTATTTTTATGAGTTACAACTGGCTATAGATTAAAATATGAGTTGTTTAGAAAGATCAAACACATTTACTTGGTGTTTTATGGCTGTAACAGACCCCATATAATATTACACACCTTTATTAATGTTTTCAGTGCTGGGGAAGAGTGGACTGAGAATCCTGAGACATATGAGTCAAGTTTCTACAAGCGGACCCTGGACAATGAAATTTATATTTTCACAGCTCCATCTTTCAACGGCAAGTTTTCTGAAAGGTTTGGATTTGCATGCACATTTCCGTGTGTGAGGATCTTCAGTGTGGTCTGGCACTGAGCCTTTTCTGTTCTCTGCCTTTGGACGCCATCCCAACCCTACTGGCAGAGATCAGGCTCTCAGCCCTCTGATATCACTCTCTTTATCCTTCTTCTTTTCCCGCTGTGTCTTAAAGTGCTCATCCCCACCTTCCCTCCCTTCTGTCCTGTATACTTCCTGTCATCTCCGCTGATCACTCTAACAGACATCAGTGCAGTGATGAAGCCATGCTTAAAGCTCCAGTACACGTGACTAGATTAACACGTGCTGGCTTTACAGGGTCAGCTCTTGTAAATTTCGGCAGATAAAAATGTATGGAATTTTGCACTGGGAGTGGAAATTGCTCTCTGCCGCATACTTCTAAACATGATTTCAATTAAATTGCAATGATAAAAGATCATCTAACCTTCTTTCATCTTTTTCCAAATTGCAGCAGAGAGTGGGGAGTCTGTGTCTGAGTCAGGTATTCTGGTGAGCAAAGCAGTGGATCTTGTCATTAATGAAGTCACGCTCAAACCAGCAGGTCAGTCTTAATACCACGCTGATTGCTTCTTGTGATGAAACACAAATAAAAAGACCTCTGCCTGTTTTGTGGTTTGTTCTGTAGTGGTGGGAGTGAAACTCAATGTCTCATTCTGGATGAACAGTTTCATGAATGCCACACTGAAACTGAATGTAAGCTGTTCATTTTATTGTTTGAAATATCTAAGAAATGTATATTTTACTGAACTTTTTTTTTTTGCCTCACTCAATTTATTTCCTTTTAGTGCAAAGATGAGATTTGCGGCTGTCTAAGGAATGACAAGGTATAACAATATTAAAAAAACTACCAGTTTATTTAAATACTTTTTTTGAACGCTTTTTCAGTTGTTTAACACTTTTTATCCTCCAGCATGTGGACTGTGTGATACTGGATGATGGAGGATTTCTTCTCATGTCCAACAAGGATGAGTACATTACCCTGGTGAGTTATCATCAGCAATCTTTACATTATTGCAAACATGTAAGCTTCACTAATTTGGAACATTCCTTTTTCTCTCTACAAATTGTGATCATAAAAATGTGTGGCCACATGTTCAGAAGGGGCGACTTTTCCAGCAGTCATGTTTCTTGTCTTTTCTATTCATTTTTTACTTGTCTACAAACTCAGTTCCTCTTACCTTTGACAGAGAAATTCATCAATCATATATACGGGTCAAATAAAGGACTTATGACTCATTTACAAGAATGGCCTGTTTGCTTTTAGCTCTACTTTTCTACTACAGCAGTGCACCCATGTGTCTGGTAAAGTAGAGCACTAGACTCTGGACGAAGATCAAAGGGAAGGCTCCGATGGGTCTTAGTCAATCATGGAAGCTGTACTGAACTGTTTCCCCTGTGTATGTGAGAAGTCCGCTCAACTGTGTTAACTCCACTCTTTTAGGCTGCCTTCAGCCCCAGCCTGTCAGTTGTAGGATATACTGTGAGCTCAAAAACATCTCATGTCAGTCAAGTTAGGACATCGGCTGTCTTTGATCCATTCTACCATCACAAAATCTGACACATACAGTTTACTCTCTTTGAGTATTCTTTTCCACATTGTGAAACAATTGATGTCTTCAGAGACGATGCCAAGCCTTTTGTGCTATTGAAAAAAAGTAAATGTATGCAGTGACAGTAGTTCTATGATCCAGAAAAAGGATCCCTTTATTAGGCTTAACAGTACACCTCTTCACTTAGAATCTTTTCCAATCTATAATAGAAGAAGTGGAATTCTTAAGACTAAAAATCTTGTTCTGGGCCATGGATTCAGATATATAGCATTGCCTAAGATGTGTTTCAATGACAAAGAAAAATTAACCGCTCAGTAACCTAATACACACGGTTAAGTCAACATGAAAAAGTCCTGTGACAATGACCTCAGTCGAGCATCAACATGTGTAATTGGTGACTGGAGGATTCCACCACTTTCTATCTAGCGAGATCATATGCCCTCTGTGAAAAATTTGAATGGGAAAGCAATACAGTGCATGTACTTCACAAAGTACAATCTGATTGGTCCCAAACTCATCCTTCAGCATAACAGCCACAAACATGCTTTTGTAAAGAACTCTTTTTAGCCACAAGTAAAACAAAGAGTCTCATAACAGATGGCAAAGCCCCACAGAGTGCTGATCTCAACATCACTGAGGCAGTGTGGGCTTACATGAAGAGGCAGAAGGCTGTGAGACAACCCAAATCCACAACAGAACTGCAGAGAAGCAAAGTTTATGTGGAAAGGTCTACATTTTTGTGAACGACTCACCTGCCAAGCAAAGTTATGATTTTGTACTAAGTCTACAAGAAAAGTTAAAGCTAGCTGTGGAAAAAACGTTTAATTTGGAAAAAAGAAACTAATTGAAACAATATTGCGTATTTGCATAATTAAAAAATATACAGGAAATGACGTAAGTTTATCAGTTTTGTCAAATTTGCCATCACAACAGTCATGAGGACGCTTTGTTGCACATGTGTTTATTTAGACTACGATGTTTGTATAACTGTGGCTCATCTACCTCTGCAAAGTGCTGTGTTTGTATTCTAATACCTTTTCTGAACTTGCATCTTTCCCATGGAAACTTTCTACATATTAAAGCATCAAATACTAAAAATAATACAATTTAAAATTAAAAAATTGCAATTTATAAAAAAATAGGTTACACAATAACTAACCTAAAAATAACTAACAAATCATTTAATGGGTTGTAAATTAATAGTTATTAAAACAGCAATAAATACTGCTAAATAAATATTGTCCATTGTCAGTTATTGTTAAACTAACTCACACCTGATGATGATCACTGAGCACGTGTAATATTTTAATTTAAATTTATTTTTGTTGTTGTTTCTAATTATAGAAAATTGTAATTTTATGGAATATAGATGAGGTGATAAAATTAAATTTTAATTACATCAGCACACATAATTTTTAAAGCCTTATGTAGTGTTTAATGGTATCTCTATTTGTTGACAATTCCCACGTACAGTATAATGGTCATTTTGTTATAAAGTTTTTATCACTGACCTATGAGCCTGTTCTTATTTTCAGGGTATTTAAATATTTTGGTTTTATAAAAGTTGCTGGTATCGTAATAGTAAGAGCATTCTCTTATTATTACGATATTCTCAATCCCACCTATTATATATGGAAACTTTTTTTACTTTATCATTACAGCTAACATTTTTCATCCAAAACTGCATTTGTTTTCTAAACTGTTTAAGTACTTTTGGTACCTAAAGCTAACTAGTGAACAAAACAGAACACAAATAATAGTACATGTTGCAGTTATTTGACTGACTCCAGTGCCAATCTGCCCGACTTTTATGGAAACTTAAAAAGGTATACTGTAACGTAGAAAACATTTTCAGTTTTACAATAGCTATCAAGATAATATTTCTAGATACCCAATACCATTTACAAACGTTTACTTAGGCAGTATCATTCAACAGCATAGCATGCATTTTTATTGCTATGCAGATGATATCCAGCTTTATTTATCCATAAGGCCAGATAACACACACCAATCGGCAAAACTGTAGGAAAGTCTTAAAGATGTAAAGACGTAGATGACCTTTACATTTCTGCTTCGAAATTTAAATAAAACTGAGGTTATTTACTAAAACATAGCATCTATCAAGTACTTACTCTGGATGACACTACCTTGGCCTCCAGTAACACTATGAGGAAAGTTGGAGTTGTTTTTGACCAGGATATGACCTGGTCGTTTGGAATCCTTCGCACATACAAGGTCTTGAATAATTAGGCTTCATCTTACGTTAAAGACCTCATAGTACCCTACTCCAATAAGGCAGTTTGCTCTCCAACTGCTGGGTGACTTGTGGTTCCCAAGATGTGAGGTAGAATGGGGGAAAAGTAGAATGGGAGGAAGAGCTGCCAGATTTCAGGCCAAGAAACAGCTCTCAGTTTGGATTCAGGAGACAGACACCCTCTCTGCTTTTAAGATCAGGCTGAACGCTTTCCCTTTTTGATAAAGTATGGCTGCCTCTCCCCGAGCCTGGTTCTGTCAGAAGTTTCTTCCTGCTAAAAGGAAGATTTTCCTTGTCAGTGTTTCCAAGTGCTTGTTTAAAGTGGGTTGTTTGATTGTTGGAATTTTCTCTGTATTATTGTAGGGTATTTAACTTGTAAATAAAATTAACTGAAAAAAAAGCTATTAACCTCAGACAAGAGGTTCATATATATATATATATATATATATATATATATATATATATATATACACACGGTATGTACCACCGGCAGATAGAGGAGGTGGCTGATATCCAGAAATCCTACCAGTGGCTGGACAAAGCTGGACTGAAAGACAGCACAGAGGCACTAATCATGGCAGCACAAGAACAAGCTCTGAGCACAAGATCCATAGAGGCTGGGGTCTATCACACCAGGCAAGACCCCAGGTGCAGGCTGTGTAAAGATGCCCCAGAGACAATCCAGCACATAACAGCAGGGTGCAAGATGCTAGCAGGCAAGGCATACATGGAACGCCATAACCAAGTGGCCGGCATAGTGTACAGGAACATCTGTGCCGAGTATAACCTGGAAGTCCCGAGGTCAAAATGGGAGATGCCCCCAAGGGTGGTGGAGAATGACCGAGCTAAGATCCTGTGGGACTTCCAGATACAGACGGACAAAATGGTGGTGGCTAACCAACCGGACATAGTGGTGGTAGACAAACAGAAGAAGACGGCCGTAGTGATCGATGTAGCGGTTCCGAATGACAGCAATATCAGGAAGAAGGAACACGAGAAGCTGGAGAAATACCAAGGGCTCAGAGAAGAGCTCGAGAGGATGTGGAGGGTGAAGGTAACGGTGGTCCCCGTGGTGATCGGAGCACTAGGTGCGGTGACTCCCAAGCTAGGCGAGTGGCTCCAGCAGATCCCGGGAATAACATCGGAGATCTCTGTCCAGAAGAGCGCAGTCCTGGGAACAGCTAAGATACTGCGCAGGACCCTCAAGCTCCCAGGCCTCTGGTAGAGGACCCGAGCTTGAAGGATAAACCGCCCGCAGGGGCGTGCTGGGTGTTTTGTTCATATATATATATATATATATACATTAGGGGTGCAACGATACTCGTATCGATATTGAACCGTTCGATACAGTGCTTTCGGTTCGGTACCCATATGTATCGAACAATACAAAATGAATTTTTAATTTATTTTATCAACTTTCCTTCTGACGATGCTGTCTGTGTTGAGCGCTCAGTGGATCTGCGCTCGGCAGTGCAGCCTAGGCGGAGCAGTCGAACGCAGATTCACTGAGCGCAGGGCAAGCTAGCGAGACAGAAGTTAAGCTCTCCTTGCAACATGGCAAATTAAACCTCCCCCACCCTCATTCAGATCTGGCGTTTGGAACTATTTTGGTTTTCATGTGACGTATGACCCTGAAGGTAAGCGCGTCATGGACTAAAGTAAAACAGTATGTTGGATGTGCCACGCAATGCTCAATTACATGGGTGGGAGCTAGTGTGTTAGCACAGTTAGCTCGTTAATGTGTTGGCCGTCCAGCCCCATGCACGGGCGATCCACGGTAGCTCGTTAATGGAGATTTGCCGTGTTGTGGCGTTAACGTCATTTCAACGAGATTTACGCTGACAGCACTAGTGGGAACATAACAAATATGACTGCACATTTACACCGACATCATCCTAGTGCAAAGACAAGCGGAAGCAGACAAAAACAACAAGCACGCATGCTACAAACTTTTCCTGAGTCATTTAGACAGCCGTTAGCACATGATTCTTCTTATGGGGACCTGTTATGTTTAATATGCTGCTGAGAATATAGCCCAGAAGAAGCGTATAGTATAGCTTTTATTTTGGAAAGAGACATTTCTCTGTAATAAACTCTTTTCCAAAGATAAGTGATTCCTCAATCAGATACAGGGCTCGCAAAATCGCCTGCCTGACGTCCTGGGGCTAGCGATTTTTCCAGTCGGGCTACCAAAATCTATCTCTGCCCTGCCCGTCGGGCTATTGTAGGAAGGAAAAATATATGTCAATGCTTTTGCATTCTTTCGGAAATGTAGCTGGGTAATTATGTCATTGGCATCGGTGAGCCACTGCCAATATGTGACATATTGAAATCGAGTTTGAATTTGTGCTTGTTTTTTGCTTTCACTTTGCAATCGCCTGAACTGTGTATAGAGAGCGACAGCACTGATTGGTTAGTGATGATAATTTGCGCACCAATTCCTCTGACATCGTCTTATCAATGTTAGCTTACTATGCAAACATGACAAGTGAAATCTCCCGCAGCAAGCTTAAACATGTGAGAGGTTGATCGCGCAGAGAATCGCTGAGCGTTATGTGAGTGCGTGTGTAAAAGCAGCAGGATACATACTGTAGCGGGTCAGGGCTGTTCGGGGTTCTGTTTGTACAGTTATGTTTTGTTTATGTTGCCATAGTGACGGGTGACGCCCTCTCGCTGCGACGGTGTGTTCTTCCGGGGTCAGAGGGCGCCCTGTGTGTTGTTGTTGTTGCTGTGCTGTTGCCGCACTGAGCAGTTAGCTAGCGGCAGTGTTCTTCTGCAGATGTCAATAAACGGCTGTGCTCCCTGGCTAGCTCACGGGAAGCAAGACCAAACCACACCTCCGTCTCCTCCTTGTCTGAGCTCGCCACATTGGTGTCAGAAGTGGGATGATGGTGGCACCCCATGTTCTGACCCGAGTGACTTTCCCCCCGCCGGTCGTGACCGGTGTTGTGCCACGGCACATTACAATGTCACGAAACTAATATTAAATTCATCGAGTCTGCTGTTTTCCAGCTTTTACTCTTTATCGCGTCGACTGCAGATCAGTGACAACTAGCGTACAGAACGGAGCTGGGCAAGTTGCTCCTCCTACTTTGCGCGCTCCCTTGAATGGGGAAACAATTTTTGAGGGGGGTAACTACTTTGGCACAACACCGGCCGGTGCGCCAAAAGAAGGCACCTAGACATTTGCAGGACTTTGTGTGGGGTAATGGGGTCGTCGAGGACGACTGACCCCTTAGGTGGGGGCTATGTAGCGGGTCAGGGCTGTTCGGAGTTCTGTTTGTACAGTTATGTTTTGTTTATGTTGTCATAGTGACGGGTGACGCCCTCTCGCTGCGACGGTGTGTCCTTCCGGGGTCAGAGGGCGCCCTGTGTGTTGTTGTTGTTGCTGTGCTGTTGCCGCGCTGAGCAGTTAGCTAGCGGCAGTGTTCTTCTGCAGATGTCAATAAACGGCTGTGCTCCCTGGCTAGCTCACGGGAAGCAAGACCAAACGATACCTCCGTCTCCTCCTTGTCTGAGCTCGCCACATTGGTGTCAGAAGTGGAATGATGGTGGCACCCCATGTTCTGACCCGAGTGACTTTTCCCCCGCTGGTCGTGACCGGCCGGTGCGCCAAAAGAAGGCACCTGGACATTTGCAGGACTTTGTGTGGGGTAATGGGGTCGTCGAGGACGACTGACCCCTTAGGTGGGGGCTATGTAGCGGGTCAGGGCTGTTCGGGGTTCTGTTTGTACGGTTCTGTTTTGTTTATGTTGCCATAGTGACGGGTGACGCCCTCTCGCTGCGACGGTGTGTCCTTCCGGGGTCAGAGGGCGCCCCGTGTGTTGTTGTTGTTGCTGCTGCTGCTGTGCTGTTGCCGCGCTGAGCAGTTAGCTAGCGGCAGTGTTCTTCTGCAGATGTCAATAAACGGCTGTGCTCCCTGGCTAGCTCACGGGAAGCAAGACCAAACGATACCTTCGTCTCCTCCTTGTCTGAGCTCACCACAATATTTTAGTTCTGCTGAGCCAAATAAGTCAGGTCAGGGTGAAGAAGTGACAGCCAAAGAAAAGCTTACCGCAAAACGGAGAAGTTATGACAAATCAGGCTATAAGGCAAAAAGAAAGTGCAGCTTTATGGTTTCATGGACAAAAGAATTTCTGTGGCTGCAATATGACAAGCGAAATAACCAGGGCTGCACATAAGTGGTCCGAAGGTGCGCATTCGCTGTCAAAATAAAAAACGGGCACAAGATAAGAAGTTGCAACGAGTGTTTGCATACATAAGATTTTCAGGAGGAGGACAGAAATTTGTTTAAAACTCTTAAAGATGTCGAAGAAGCAAGCTCCTTTAAGCAATTACTGTGATGTTCCTTCACCTCCAAAGAAATGTCAGAAGGAGTCCGAACCACAAAAGAAGCACGTATTCTCGGAAAAGTAGTTGCAGGAGGTGAGCTGGCTTCAAACAAATGATGAACGCACAGAGATGTGGTGCGGAATGTGCCGTGAAAATTTAATAAATGACAAATTAAAAAGGCATGAACGTGTTTTTTTTTTTTTAATCGAAAAAATATCGAACCGTGACACCAAAGTATCGAACCGAACCGTGAATTTTGTGTATTGTTGCACCCCTAACATATATATATATATATATATATATATATATATATGTATATATATATATATATATATATATATAATATATATATATATGATCAATGATGGAATATATTCTACAACCCTAACTCTAATTATTACTTATTTAAGCTGGTAGAGTTATGTTGGACTAACATTTTGATGCAAAACCTCTCAAAAGTCTTCAGCTGACTTAATAACTGCTAATATCTGCTATGTGAGGGTCATACTGTAGCATATGATTTACATCATTATCATACTCATCAAACCATTCGCTGACCCTTGTGCCCTATGAATAAGGCATTGTCATTCTGTAAGAATGCAGTGATATTAGAATAGAAATGTTTTCCTCACTGGATAAAGATAGATCACTTAGAACAGCAATGTAATGATTTTTTAATGACCCATACGTCTAAGGGGATAAAAAGGGTACCTCAACCCTGCAAGCAAAACACTTACCTAATAGCGCCACTGCCTTTTCTGTTAATTTACTTATACTCCAACCAATGCTACTTTAAGGTAAGTAGGACCCAACTCCGTGCTTTGTTTACAAAAAACAAAACAAAAACAAAACAAGACTTACTTTTACACTGCTCTTACTCTCTGTTATGTTTTGTGTGTGTGTATATGTGAACCTGTCTAGATAGGTCAGTTTTTTGGTGAGGTGGATCCAGTGCTGATGACCAACCTGGTCAACACCTCCCTGTACTCCTTGAACAAGACTTATGACTATCAGTCTGTCTGTGATCCAGAGAAAGACAGCAAGGCAGCAGCTGGACCCCGCTCCGTCTATGTGGTTAGAAACCTCACTGAAACCATTACTGTATATGTTATTTGGTTTCTATTTGTGCAATAGTAATATATTAACGTAAAAAAACAGAATTTATTAGTTAATTTGATTTATGAAGCCTTACTCGTTTTTTCGGAGGCTTTTTTGTGCTTGTTTTTTCACTAGCATTTCTTTTCCTGTCTTTCTACAGCCTACCATTGCAGACTTTCTCAGTATTGGCTGGTGGGCATCCACTGCTGCCTGGTGAGTGTAGAGGTTGTGTGCTTGTGCTTCTATGTTTCATTGATTTGCGTGTGCATGTTAGAGTGGGAGCACACTTGTATTTCAGGGTGGGAGTTTGTACGGGAGTGGACTTGCATGCTGTTGAAGGATAAAGTTGGCTGGGTCAGTGTAAGACAAGGGCAGTTACACAACATGATACCGCATCATTTTCTGCTTAGCTGTCCAACTGCAATATAACCAGCTTTTAAAATAGAATGCCTGATACTTCCCATGACATTTACATCACCATTTACTCTAACTTTAGACAGATGTGTTGCTTTTAGTAAACAGCTATCGGTTGAACGTAGTTTTAAAAAACAAGCTGTTCAGGCGATTTGTTGCCTCCTACATGTGACTCATTTTGTTTTTGTTTTTACTTTTTATTGTTTTTTCCTAGGTCAGTACTTCAGCAGCTCTTCTTGGGTCTCATGTTCCCCAGCCTTCTACAGGCAGGCAAGTAACATAAGCTGTGCATAACCATCAGTCTTAGTTTGATGAGACAGAGGTCTGTCACTCCAGTTTTAATCCATGTATTTCTTACTAATCCTCTTTTCTATTAAACCGTCCCTCTTATTTCTAGCAGAGTCGACAGATGACGACATATCAGATGCCATGTTTAAAGAAAGCTGTATCACAGAGCAGACTCAATATTTCTTTGACAACGACGAAAAATCCTACTCAGGTGTCCTGGATTGTGGAAACTGTTCCAGGTATGTGTATGTTAGTTCACAAGACTCCCCATATGCTTCCATCTTAGTGGCTCTTTCCACTGATGACTTTAAATGGCTGTTGTTGAAGATTTTCAGGTTCTTACTGGGCGTCCATCTGTTTAATGGCCTGTGGGGATTGATCCAGAAAAGAATTGGTTTCCTGGTTTCGTTCTGTTTTGCAGCCTGATTTCAGACAGCTGCTTTCTGATGAGTTCTGATCACACACAGATTACCTTGATCTGTCAGAGCCCGGAATTGCAGAGGAAAGCAAAAAAAGCCTTTTTTTATCTGTTTTTCTTCCTTTACACTCTGGCAGTATGTCAAACTCACTAATACACACATTTACAGGCCGCTGCACATTTGCTTTGCTGTAACCTACGTTTGTATCACTTTGGGCTGTCTGAGGGGTTAAATATGGCTGTAATTACTGGGTGTTATGAGTCCCACGTGTCTGATGCTTTACTCCCCAAAGTTAACAACTGTAGACACAGATACTTTAATGACTACCATAAAAAGTCAATCCCGTGAGGACGGAGGTGGTATGAAGTGCACTGTTTGTGCACAACTGAACACATACCTGCATGTACATGTGTGCTGCATTGGTACCACGTTATACGTGCTTTATTTTCCTTTTTCTAGGATGTACCGTGCTGAGAAGCTGCCAAACACCAACCTTGTGTTTTTAATCACTGATGCCAAAGCAACATGTTTGTCATGTGACCCCAGACCACTGCGACAGGCTGAACAGCCCTGTATCCTTTCACTCGGCTTAAAAACTGTACTTTCTTTTGTCTCTTCAATCCTCCATAAACCACATATATAGCAGCACTTTAACCTGTCAGTACGAGGACACACACCTAATAAGTGTGCAGTGGGTCCCCACTCAGTGTTCATGTGTGAACCGTAAACCAGATGCACAGCATATGAAAGGTGGTCTCACATTACTTCTAGATTAAATTTCTATGTTTATCTTCATCTGGGCTACAGGTTGCCATCAGGTTAAATTAAGATTAAGAGAAGGGGTGTGTATGTGTTCTGGATACATGTTTGACAGATGTGTCTTTAATGTAGGTTTCTGTTGATTGGACAGTAAAGGTGTCATCACCAGAGGTCACCAGGGGGCCACTACAGAGTTGTCCATTTGGTAATAGTAGCACTAAATGTTGCTGCCAGAGCACATTAAAATATTAAACATTTTATAAACAATACTTCTAATCAATGATCAAGGCTACCTTTCGTCAGATCAATAATCAAAATTTCTCTTACAGTCTCCAGTGTTTTCATATAAAAAGCTATTTTTAAAACACATATTACTAAATGATGTTTATTAATCTCTATTAGATGTGAAAAATTAAAATTCGTAAAAATTAGTCATTCGTAATTAGGTCTTTGCAGATTGTTGCCATCCATACTTCAGCAGTTCTTTCTCTTAAAAATGTGTTTTTTCTCTCCACTGTTGCTCCAGTGCTTAGTCATAAGGGATCATTGTTGTCTGTCTAACTATAATGATGCACTGTTTGCAATATAAAGTACCTCAACATGACTGGTGGTGTCATTTGGTGCTATAAAAATGAAGTGTTTCTGAGTACATAAAGATGCATTATTGAGTTTTTATTGTTAAAATGTGCACAACAGCAATTTGAATTTTCCTGAGTGTCCTTTCAGCTGAAGGTCCAGATCCATGTGACATGGTTGATAAAGCCAGATATCGCAAAGGGCCGGACGTGTGCTTTGACAACAATGAATATGTAAGACACAGTCACATATGTGCCAGAGAATATTTTCTGGAAACAGCTCTATTAGCCAGACTAAACGGTTGGCTTCTGTCAGTTTCTGTCTGGTTTTCATCAGCAATGTGCTTTCTGCATAGATTTAAAGCAATGTCAATTACCTGCCCTTTGAGCTTCCTTCATCTTTTATTTATCTATCCAGTTTCCATGTTATTTATCAGTTTTTAATATTCATTGACAATTCACTCATTTGTTTATATTCCTTTCTGTCTTCTTGTCTCTCATCATTTTTTATTCTTCTTTTATGTTTCTGCTTCCCAATGGCTGCTGCTCTTGTCTGACAGGATGAACCTTTGTGCCCAGTCAGCAAAGGTTCTGCAATGAGCCCTACACCTTTACTGTTGTTTCTGGTTCTGGCTTCAGGGTCAGTGCCGTCTCACTGCTTCAGAAGGCTCATTCCTAACATATTAACTTCTATGATATTCAATGTTTCTTGGCGATTGCAAAGTTCTTTTTAGGGGCAGTGTAAATCAGGTAGTATGATGGACATTCAATCCTTAAAGCTGATTTATTTTTCCATTATGTTGTAATATGTAATATGTTGGTTATTACAATTTAAAAAGTTTTATAAACAGTAAAGATTTTAATTTCCATGAGGTATTATACTCACTAAAATAATTTAATAAGGAAATAGCTGATGAGAAAAAAGTAAGAAGTATAACACAGCTTAATAAATAGGTGAGATCTTTTCTTTGTTGAATAATTCCCTTACTCACAGAATGTTGCATCTATCTTATATTGTACATAATTTTGCACAATTTTGTTTAAAAAAATAATGTTTAAGGTATTGTACAAAGTTACTAGTGGACCTTTATGTATCATATCAGCTAAATCCATAAAACAAAAGAGAAAAGCAGATAAATTATATGTGAACTCGTTGAGTCACCACCCAACTGTGAACAATTTATAAGACATCTAAATATTTGGAAAAAAAATATCTGGCATATCTTTGTGAACTCTGCCTTTCATTGTGCTATAAAGGAGTAGAACATACACACAACAGGCCACCAATTCATGTGCCTTTTGGTGTTTATATTATGAAGAGGCCATGCTGGGAAGCAGAAAGGGAGGGGAGGAATAACGTAGGAAGTAGATGAACAGAGTAAATGTAGGCCGTGTCCTTTTCCTCTCCCATCTGTCCCATTACTTTTGGCTAAGCTCCTCATAGGAAGACGGTTTGTGTCCAAGCCAGTCCATTTTGTCACTGGAGTAAACAAAGGAAGCTTCACATGGCTTTCCTGCCCTTTGAAAATAGAAGACCCCCACCTCTTTCTCCTAGGCCTTTGGCATGCACGGATATCCTGAATACTCCCATTAAATTAAAAAAACAGCTACACACTGAAGCTACCAGGTGCAAGCCATTGCACAAAGATTGAGGTCTGAAAACACCTCTAAATATTTGAACAGAGCTGTTAAATTAATATTTCAGTTTCCTTGCTTTTTTGCTGACAGTTAAATAAAACATAAGTGTATATGTTGATACCGCTCTCGCTGATTATTATAACACTGGACCGCATAGCTATTTAGCCACAGAAAGAGCTAACCTTTCGCTGCACTTATCCAGGAAACACTCAAGGAGATAACACCATAAACTGTTGTTTTTACACTTCAGGTTCTGTATGGGTAAAACTAATGATATCTAAATAAATAATCTGTATGCGCTTAGTGTGCTGGGTAGATGTTTTTTGTCAACTTGGGATTAAGCCACACAGTTTTGAGTATTTCTGCTATGCTAACTATCTCCGGTTCCATCTAGTTATAACAGATATAATGTGGCAGGTATGTACGTTGTTGTTGTATCAAGGGGAAAGGGGGAAAACATGCTTCTCTAAAAACCTGTCAGTGTGAAAAGTAGACTTGATACAACACCGACAGTAGACTATAGAATGACTGAATTTGATATAGTATAATCATAAAATGCTTATTACTGTTAGTAGCAGCAATAGTGGTGGTAGCAGTTGAGATAGAGCTTTTGAATGTCAGAGAAGACTGCTTCTAATTTACTTACACTTGATCTGTCCAACAGGAAGACGATTCTGATTGTGGAGGAGGGACTTGTCTAAGACCGAGCCTTTGGCCAGTGTTCGGGTTTCAGCTGCTGCTGTTGTGGCTCAGCACATCTTTGCAACACTCATGACCCCTACACGCGATTACATACACTCATACACTGATCATCGAGTCATTTCGCTGGAGGCCAGAAGACACTCGAGTTGCACCATACAGGATGTATGCAGAATATTTGCAACAAGACATTTTTATTTTCTCAAGACCAATATCAGCATTTCCATTTGCCAATGCCAAAGGGTGCTCATTCATTACCTCCTCATTATTTTCCAAGAAGAGAGACACATTTACTGTGCTCAGCTGCACTCATTTTCATGATATACTCCTTAATATTCTCCTATGGTGCAAGAGTAAGAGCTAACCAAACCCTTTAATTCTGCCTCATTTTCTCTTGTGTGTCTGATTTATTTTGAGGAGGTTGAAAGACGTTTTCCCACTATGCCAACTAAATCTCATTCGAAACCTGTATGTTCACTGACAGCATTGATTTGTGTGGTTGTCGGTATTGTTTGTTGCTTATTATATTCATTGTGTATGAATAAGTATGCTGTAAGGATCGTTTATTTTGGCAACCAGAGCAAGTATTAAGAGTATCCCTTTTGATTTGTTTTTAAATGTACTTTACCAACCTATCTACATTTCATTTTTGTACTCAAAATCAGTAAGCATTTTGTGTCTAGCTAGGTGTTGTATTGTAGCAGCATGTGCTCAGTACAGAGCGAAAGACAACACCGACTTTTTGACACCAAAGCTCCACACAGTACCAATGACCGCAAACCTACTAAAGAGAATCTGCACAATAGCTTAATTCGAGATATTCCTCAGATGTGGGTGTACATCAGTAAACAAGCTACATTATTAGCTAGATATTATAGATATTTCACCAAGAGATAAGTGAGGTCAGGTTGCATCCAATGTGATAATCTATTAGGATATTGCAATTTTCAAATATATTTGTACTTCAAGTGACAGCTTTGGTTGTCTTCAGTTTGATGCATCAAATTCCCAGTGCCTATGTAGTAAATCAAACTGTCTGGTATTTGAATGAAGCAACACATCAGATTTGTATTCTTACCACGTATGCTTCTATGCTAACGCTTGCTGCAGTTTAGCAGAGAGGGTATCCCTTGCAGTAATTTGTTATGAAATAGTCCAAATCTGCTGCAGTTCTTCTGCTTTTTTGGCTTACAGATAGGTGATGGAAACAACCGTTGACTTTGATGATGAGAGAGGAATATCATTCCCCTCTTTTGCCAAAACAAAGCTAAGCCAGGCTTGAGCTTGGGTTCCAACACCTCTCTTTATTAATCCTGTTTCTGTTTCCTTTCTGGATCGCCAGACTCAGGAGCCAAGATGACTTGTGAATGAGATCAGCATATCAAAATGACTGTTTCTTTGTTTTCTTGCTGTTCTCTTTATGCTTGTTTCCTCTTTGTGTTGCTCTATAAGTGCTGTGAAGCAGACGCTGAAGGCTCAGTGTCGAAATGCTGCAATGTCATGGGATGAGCTTGTTCTGTGTTTGAACTCTGTCTATGCCTACGATCAGCATCAGGGCATGCTGGAGAGAACTTTGAGAGCACTCTTTTACCAATGATAATTTTCCATTGCCTTACTTTGTCTTAGGTTTTAGTAAGTCATAAAGATCATACATAAGTTCATCTTTTCCCTGTTTCTTTTTTTTTTTTTTAAGAATAAAAGTAATGTTCTCTCCACCTCGCCTTCATGGTGATATACTGGTGTGATCAGGTTATGCTGTCTAGCAAAGTTATGTGTTGACTTGTGTTTTACCCTGAGGGTCCCCTGTCTGTGTGCAGGCATGTATGTGTCCCTCCGATATCTGATTGTGCTTTAATACCGTACATGAAATACTCTTTTGTGGATCTTCACTAGCCTGAATAAATTTTGTATACATTTGTACACTAATACTATTTACTGTAAAAAAGAGAAAATGGAAGAAATGAAAAAAATGTTTATAATATGGTGTTAGTTATTGTGCATATATAATAAATTCACAAAAAACATTGTATTAGTATGACCTGAGATTCTCCTTATTGCTCACATCTGGTCAGATGCTTTGGCTCCACTGGGAGCAGACCAAACATGTCATCCTTCCTGCTGACAGAGACAGCTGCTGAAAAAGAAAGACCATCTGCATTTGTGGTTCACTGTGTCTGTGTTGGTATATGAAGGAAGGGTGTGGGTGATTTGGGATTAGTCAAGTAGCTCTTTACACTACAGTTTTCTTATTAATGCCTAATTATCAAATTACTGAAAGAAAGTACAACTTAACACCTGGCCGGCTAAAAAACATCATGCCTAGTTTGTGTCTGACCACACCCCAGATCTCTGATATGTGGGATTTGCGGTTGGGTGTTGTCATAGCCAATAGCCTGTCTACATCAGTACAAGAAGGTAATAGCCTAAATCATATTTCCATGGTCTTGGGTATTTATTTCCTAAATATGCTGGCGGATGCGTGCTAAAATGTGTAAATGTTTGCAGCTTTATTTCATTTTATCTTTCATTCCAAAGTAAAGTCTAAATCTTGTTATGAAAACACTTCCTTTACTTCAGCATGTTAAATACAGTAATTGTGCAGTTCAAATGACCACTCAAAGAAGTCTAAGTGCTACCTTAAAAGACATGATTTAAGACATTTTTTTCTTGTTCCACTTCCTTCATACCTCAACTACACATATAAAACCATACACATCCATTTTTACATGATTTCTGGGGTGAGGAAGGCAGTGGCTCCTCCGGGTGGAAATCTTAGCTGTATGTAAGATGTCAAACAGAATGGCAGAGAGTGCCCCACTGAGTACTGTCAGAGGCCTCAGTGTTTTTGATTTTTGTGATGCCTGTTGCAGCATTATTGACACAGACAGCTCTGCTATCCCCTGCCTAAAGCAGCAAGCAAATGTCAGATGCTAACACCAGTGAGTACTTGAGCATAATCTACACTTTACCTGTTGGGGTTTGTGTTGTTTATCTGACCATAATATAAGAATGTGTAAGGCCACAATTTGGAGTAGTAGCTATTAAAAATATTTGTTTTTCTTAGAGATGTGTCTGCCTGGGAGGTCTTTGTATGTGTGCTACTCAGCAATGATCTAGTAGGGAGGTTGTAACGGGACACCCTTGTAAATAGGCACAAGGTCATACCCTTTAACATGCCTGGCTTAAAATCCTACAGACATAGAAGAAAAGCAGGAACTAGTTAGACATCTCTGTTTAATGCTTAACAAATCAAAAACCTTCCTTCTAACCAAAAATAAAATAAACCTGTAGCAATGTATTCAAAGTCAAAAAGATCCCTCATTTTACTGGTTTAACTTACTAACTGGTACACACATGTAGATTAACAACAGCATGGTATAATATAAGGAATACACCTTGAATCCATTGCTTCTAAGGATTTACATCGGGTGGCTTCAATCCAATTTAACTTTTTTGTTTTGATTTTTCTTTCATTACTCAATATTTCTGAGGAACAGTATTAATATTAGATCCCCCAAGAAAGACCATGACTCATCTGTGGTTAAGTTAAAATCTTAGAGTGGCTTTTTAGGTTTGTTCCACTAATTGCAGGAAGTGGCACACTAGACTAATGCTGCATCAACATCGTGACCCGTGACTGGATCTGCAAGGATCAGCATGTCATCAAGTACACTCCTCCAAAGTTCATTAACTCTTTTGTGAAGTAATATAACATCTATTTGTGTAGACCTTTACCGGCAAATGGTTGTTTTTTTTGGAACGGTGTTGCAACTTAATGGCACTCTAATTTTAGCTCCAACACTCTCGACAGCCTTTGGGTCATGAGGTTCCCGGGGCAGTCAACCCACGTCTGAATAAACTTCCCTGAATCTGGTTAATATAATGTGGTTTACATTAGCTACAACATTTTTAATTGGCACTGTTTGTTTTTTTTCTAACTGTTAAAAAAAGCACACTTCCTGTAAGCCGTGACATAGAGGTCACAGTTTTTCCGTCACTACAAGGCTTCAGCCGGGCAGGGGCATCGGGGTCAATAAGGTTTTGAAGTGTAGTAAGAAAAATTTTTCCAGTATCTTCTGTAAATGCTCCCTGATTGCTTGGGTATATTTATGGTGTATTTTCCTGTGAGAGACACACTCTTCCCCCCTCCAAGCTAGGATCAAACAGTATTTGTATATAAATCTTTATGTTTATGGAAGTCCAAAAGGATTTAGCACACTGGAAAAGGAAAAGAGAGAACGTGTCAAATAAGTTGTTAATCACACGAAATGATCCCAAATAGTCTTTAAACATTTTCCTGTTGCAGTTTACTTTTTTTAATCACCTGTTTTTGTGATCCCCTGCACACAGGCTGGCAGCAAAGTCAATCAAAGACAGCCTCAACAATATTTGCAACACGGTGAGAAAGATGTGTTAAACAACCTGAAGGTCGGGCAGAACACCAAACATACACTTGGCATGGACTTTCAGGAAATGCCACAGTCTTTTCCAAACCCATAAACATGACCACACACTTGTCTGTTCTTCCTACCTTGTTTTTTTTTCTCTCAGTTTGTAATCATGTTGTAGGTACAGTACATATCTGCATGTGTGTGTCCTGAATGTAATTGGTAGCCATAGCCCGGGTAAAATCTAACCAGGTGAATGGTCTTAACATAACACATTCCACTCTAGCCCCTACTGAGTCTTGATTTGTGGATTTTCTCTGTGTTTAGAGTGGGGCCTAACATATAGTATAACTGGTAACATGAGGTGTTAAGTTTGTTGGGGCCATGTGCATTCACCGAGGTTCTTTCCATGGGATCAGATATTTTTATAAGTCTCTCAACATAAAAACTTACACTTTTGTGAATGACATAGAAACTGTACAACTTTTAAAGGTATCCTGTTAAGTTTGTGGCCACTAGTAGCACAGTGTAGTAGTGTTTTTATAGGCTCATTCCTGTTTTGCTTGTACTCTGCACATTCAAAACAGATTCTGCAACTGGTTTCCCTTTATTCTACTGATCAGCAGATATGGGTACTTAGATGTAAAGCAATGTGATGTGAGGTAGGTTGCCACATAAAGGTAAAAAATAACACACTTTAAGGGGTGGTTGCAAGCAATACAGGACTAATTAAATAACACAGTCGTTTTTTCAGTCTATTTGAGTATTTGAATAAAGAATATTTTACTTATATATATAGATTGATTAGTGTGTAATTCGATCTTCAAACAAACTGATTCTCACAATTTTAGAATTAATTGATTTAAAAAATAGGGCGCCACTTTGTGGAAGGTGCCATGTTGCTCCACTATCTTGAATACAGTGGCCAAGCTGGACACCACTGTTACACCTGATTACATTTTATATATATGGCTAGAGATCATGTAGGTAATATGCCAAAGGTGGAGGAGAGTAGAACTCGTTGGTGTACGTGTGCATCTTCAGGCTCAAGATATGAAGTATCATGCCTACACTAAACTGCCAAAAGTATTCACTCAGCCGTTCAAATTATTGAATTCAGTTATTCCAATCACTTCAGTGGCCCCAGGTTTATAAAATCAAGCACCTAGGCACGCAGACTGCTTCTACAAATATTTGTGAAAAAATGAGTCACTCTCAGGAGCTCAGTGAATTCCAGCATCGTGCCATGATAGTTATGAAATTTCCTCCCTACTAATTATTCCTGTTTGGAAGGACTGGGAATGACAGCAATTCTGCCACAAAGTGGTATGCCAAGTAAAATCGCAGAGCGGGATGAGCTGATGCTGAGGTGCATAGTGTACTGCAGATTTCATGTGGCCTTCAGTTTAGCTCAAGAACAGTATGTAGAGATCTTCTTGGAATGAACTTCCTTGGCCAAGCAGCTGCATCCAAGCCTTACATCACTAAGCACAATACAAAGCTTCAAATGCAGTGGCGTATTGCACGCCACCGCTGAGCTCTAGAGCAGCCGAGAGATGTTCTCTAGAGTGATGATGAATCACATTTCTCCATCTGGAAATCTGATGGATGAGTCTGGGTTTGGAGGTTGCCAGGAGAGTGGTAGTTGTCTGACTCCACTGGGCTAATGTAAATAACAGTATTGGTTATCAAAATCATTTCTTATATTTCTGTAATATCGAAATTAATTCATTTAAACTCAATGTTATTTATATACCAAATCACAATAACCATTGCCTCAAGGTTCTTAATATTGTAAGGTAAAGACCCCATAATAATACAAAAAACCCAGAGAAAATCCCAACAATAATATGACACCTATGAGCAAGCATCATGGTGACAGTGGGGAGGAAAAACTCCCTTTTAACAGGAAGAAACCTCCAGCAGAACCAGGCTCAGGCCACATGCTGTGTTGAGGTGAAGGGAGGCAGACAAAGACAAACAAAGACACGCTGTGGAAGAGAGCCAGCGATTAATAATAACTAATCCACCAGTACACATAATCTGTTTAATTGAAATGATATTTTTAATGTCAAAATATAATTACTGCTGTTATCTGTGAATTTTCAATTTCACCGTTTAATAAAAAAGCAGAAACACAGTATCTTTTGATTTAGATGACAAGATAGATTTGCATCACTGCTTTAAACTTAAAGCATGCAGCTACAGACAGTGTTCAGCCAAAAGAAGAATGGGACTTCCTGGAATAGACTGACTGGTCCCAAAGAGCTTTGAGCTCAGCATCACAAAGACAGTTTGGCATTACACAAAAAGATAGATTACCCTGAGACAGACTACAGCCTGCAGCAGTTCCGTGATAAGTTCTCATAGACACTTGTACTACCTGACATGTATCTTTAAAACGTATGTAATGCAATGCTGCTTCAACACAGCTTGATTTAATTCATATATTTTTGCCTATATTGCTACTGCAATCATGGCAAAGGTGTCCTCCATTCAACTCGTGCCTAAAATGTGTGCACAACACTCAGAAAACTAAAAAACATATGAAAAAAAATATTAGACAGACAGGAAGGGAAAATGTCACTTGGTTCACTTGGTTGTAATTGTTGCCCCATTGACAATTTAGCAGGCCCTCTGCTAGAAACGG